AGGATACTGGAACATCTTCTTGAATAAGCAATCAAATAAGTACTTATGGAACATATTCTCAAATAAACACTTCTTGGACATATCTCGAAAATTATGAATGAATTTTGATTGTCAATTGAAACATTAATCAATCTAATATTATTTAGAATGCAGAAAATAAGTTAAACTAACTTCATTTTGACGAGAATTTTTTTTTTATTTTCATGAAAAATTTGCTGAAATGAGTGAAAATTTAAAAAAAACGGTGTATTTTCCAGGATAAAATCCGTACAATCCGTACAATTTGAAAACAAATCCGTACAATCCGTACAATCCGTACAATTTTAGGGTTAAAAAAAATCAATCCGTACAATCCGTACATTTTGGCCACCCTGTATATAGATTACCTTTTCGTTCAGATCTACGTGGAACAGGTAGAAAATGAGTCCGAACATAGCTGGACCTAAACCATTACAGAGACCTCGTATACCTGTTATCATTCCTTGAACCGCTCCCTATAAATAGTTTATCATTATTCAGAACCACTTAAAGGGATTGTAAGCGTAATCTCAAGTAACCCACCATGCAAAGATGGCTATCACCGATTTACAACGGTACCCTTGAGAGCTTTGTCTGATTCAGTATGAATTAGATATCCATATTTACAACTTTGAAAAACTGATAATTTTCAATTAATTGTGGTTTCTCCACAAAGATAACCCTGAAAACCAACAATATCTTCCACATGATTGATCAGATTAAGGTTTCAAGAGTGCTGATGTGAATTACCATCTATGCATTAAACTAGCACGGACTTATCATTCAGTGTTGTACTGAAATAATTAGTAGCATTGTACTTATTTTAAATAGTGTTATTATTAAATGTTGCTCTTGTGCGGCTGTTAGTGTTTTTGTTATCATTATGTTAGTATCATCAAAAATGGTTAGGCTGTAGCCCTGGCTAGTTGTCAATTATTTATAAATTATAAAATTAAAAAATGTATTTATGATTTTGCCGAAATTATCAATCAATCAATCATTTTTATCACACTTATCACAATTTTTATATTATCATTATCGTCCTTATCATTATAATTATCATAAAGTGTAGAACTTTGAGGGAATAAAATAAATCCAAGTCTGTTTGATTACTCCACCTGTTTATCCGAGTCTGCGTGCATTGAAACAAAAGCAGATATTGCCGGATACGAGATACTGGATATAGAAGCTAGTATTCCTGCAGACCACATCATCCACTGCTGAGAACCAAACCCATACCACATCAACTATAATCAATTCTATATTTAGGATGTAAACAATAAAAATAAAGCAAAAATCGACAAAAGCAAATGCATAATTTTCTAAAACTGAGACACGAACTAAAAAATTCAAGGAAAGAACATCCGTTAAAACGTTAACTGTAACCATTAAAAGGTAAATAACTTTGATTTTTTGATAAACATTTACATCAGACAAGTAAATAAACATAAAATATGTACGTCTCAGTTTTGACGGAATAATCATTGATTTTTAGTTAAAAGATTTGAAAAACTACTCTACTACAGCGCCTTGTATCTACTGAAAGAATTAAATAAAACTCTAATGTTACCTGTAACATCTCGAAGAAGAGACCGATCATGATTGTATGCTTAGGTCCAACAGTTTTCATCAGGAGGGTAAGTAAACCCGTCTAAATCAATTTAATAAAATAACCTTAAAAATAGAATCCACCAAATGTGAATAAAACTTTATCTCTGATAGCGTACCGTAGTTAGGGGAAAAACAATTCTATAGAGGGATTAGAAATGAATTATAAGACAGAAGATTAAAATAAATTGAAAAAAAAATTTTACTAGACGTTTTGACTAATTGAAATCGAGGCCGGACGTAGGTAAGAAAACAAAAATTAAATTCACTTCGTAATTTTCTTTAAATTCTTGTATTATTTAGTAGATANCCCCCCGTTATCTATTTGTCTAAATATACAGTATAAAAAAAGGTCTATGTTATAGGGTTTTTAACCGCTGAATTGAGGGAAAAATGAATTTTTGATTGATGCCATTTGATGTAAATAAAAGTTTTCTTTTTCCACTAAGGTGAAACCCATTTCCCCTACCACGGGGGAGTTGATTCTACAAAATATATACCCTGATCAATGATAGTAACCAACCTGAGCAATGATAGTAACCAACCTGAGCAATGACTGAGAGGATTCCAATGGCAGCAATGAACATGGCAACATTCTCTTTAGAGAAATTCATCACAAGCCGAAGGTAGACAAAGAAGCAAGAATACTAGAAATATAAAAATTTCATCTTATGCAATTCAAAATAGAAATAAGAAGAGAAAACCACAATATTGTTGAAGGCACAATTATGATGTGAACATACACAAAATAAAGTCCTACTCCGAATTCATAATAAACGTTGAGAGAGGTAGTTTCTTCTGTATGTCCAGTGGTTGAAACATAACTTGACAGGAATTCTGTCCTCCGATTAAATTATTTTTTTTGTATTGGATACTTATAACCCCGATCGCTATATTTGAGGAGTGAGCATCAGAACTACAATTTTTCATACTTTCACTTAAGTTATTCCTCCCCCGTTCAAAGCTCCCGTCAACCTCCGACTCGGTGCGGTTTCAATGCGGGATATCAATATAGCAAATTAATAAAAGATCGAGAGCAAGCATGTCTTTTTAATTTGATTTAATTTACTTTATTCGTTGCACCGCCGTTTTATAATTTTTCTTTTTATTACAAGCTACAGGGTGTCCCGCATCAAAGTAGACTGCGTCAATGGGTCTTAATTGCGATTTGGGGGACAAATCAGAAAATTTAAGACGAATAAATTAATTTTTAAAAAATTAATAAGGCAAATAGATTTTTTTTTGCAAAAACTGCTAGATTTTTTTAGTATAATATGCGTATTTAGGTGTTAAAGATTGGAGATAATCTAATTAATATGGGACGCTCTGTAGATGAAGTGCCCGGCGTTGGCCTTGAAATTTTAAAAATCGAATTAAAACAAAAATTTATAATTTATTTATCTTATGTCATTCACAAGGGTACCCATGAGTTTCCTCGCTAAAATTCAGCCCATTTGATTCAGTCGTTTTGCCAGCCATAGAAAACATATAAATGATCGAAGAGCTTTATTATATAGATTACACTCATACGTTTTTTTTTCACAACAGAAACTTTTACAAGTCATAATTATTATCTGGACCATTGTCCTTTTTTATCTCATAGCATTTAATTTTAAGTCGAGTTTTTCATTTTCAAAAATGTCATTTACTATCTCTAGTTTAAATACTAATTATTACTAACATAACAGTATAATAAAATGTCGATTTTTTATAGACAATTTTTTTCTGCTAGTTTTGTTTAAAGGAGAGATAAAGTAGTGCTTTCAAGGTATTTGGACTGTAGTTTACCTTTAAGGTATCTTATACTTATATCTGATATCCAAGAAGCCAAATGTTTTGAATTTACAGTTCAAATTTGCCCCCCTGATTAATTTCTGTATACGCCCTTGAATGTGATATATAATTCCGAATTAAATAGGCATACCACAGTTTTTAATTTATTTGTTCGTGTGGTAGCTCTTTAAATAAACAAAAATAATTTAAAAATTGCTATTTAATCTTCCAGTAATAAAAATATTAGAATATAAAACGTTGCTCCTTTTGTTGACATAGATATTTAAAATAGGTATTTATTGAAAAGAAAAATCATTTAACACTTGTTTAAATTTTTACAAAGGGAAGGAGGGAGGGAGAGTGAGATGCAATGCTTTTACTGAATTTTTCAGCAATAGGATAAATAAAAGCGTCCTTTGTTAACATTCAGGGTGACCCACATCACATTTTGTCAATTGATCCAATAAAATCTGAGATTTTTATTAGAGTTTTTTACATGTCAAACCTTTATAACAGAAAATAAAAATTAGCCGTTTATTTTAAACTTTCTTTCTAGTTTTATTTTGTGAATAAGTTATTGATTAGGATTCGGAACATTTTATGTTCCCATTCTTTTTTCAACTCAGCTAAAATGAAAATCCGTGAAAAAATAACGGGGGGGGGGGAATTTATTAAAAAAGCAAAACTTTTATTTAATATTTCTTAACTAGATCCGAACTAAATTTTTACTGGGAGCAAATTAATAAATTTAAACTGCCTACCGTTGGCTCAAATTTGAATCACCGATTCAAATTCTTCCTTAATCTTTAACTTTGTATAGGTGGTTAAAATTTGAACCGACAGCAGGTAGTTTAGCGACGTGGCTAAAATTTATTAATTTCGGTCCCAGGATGCGGATCCAGCATCCGAATCCGAATTAAAATAAAATTGATCCAAAGCATTGGGCTTAGTTAAAATAAGTTAACTATTACCTGCCCGGCCTCCGGTAGGTAGGAGAGGAAGACTGTGATACAAAGCATTAGAACAGTTGAATCCTTCCACATCTTCCGCAGCGAGGAAAAGGGGTCAACCTGTTCCAAGGTTAACCCTCTGCAATTAGAAAAACATAAGTATGTTCATTTACTATCAAAGCTTTTGGGACGTTTTACTTTAATTTAATAACCTTGCAAATCGGTTCAAACTGTTAATTTTATATTAAAAGTGTTCCAGAAATCCAACATGAGACGGGAAATAATCTATATGGCTGTATTGTACATAGTAAGCCACCCCCCTTCCTCCAGTACACTAAAGAATACCTGGATGTTGGTTTACATTTCTCCGGTAATGACTCTGGAACTGCGACCATGATGAAGAAAACATCAAGGATTGCAATCGCAGTGGCGGCAGCAACAACTTAACATTTTTAAATAAAATAATTTTATCTAAACTTTTTTATTGGGTTGGTTTGAAATTAAATAATACCTAGTTCTTCCCCATAGTTGGCCTCAATCCAAGCCCCAAGAGCTGGAGAGGTTACGAGGCTGGCCGCAAAGGTTGCTGACACGAGACCGTAAGCTGCCGACCTCTCAGACTCGTCGGTAACGTCGGCAACATAAGCGAACACGACGCTAAATGTTACCGCGAAGATTCCTGGACCATTCAACAAATCAATAATTAAAATTCCGAAGATTAAGAATAATTTGATATCTTTTATGACAAAAGAGTTCAGTGTACAAACAACTTAAACTCGGCCAATGTAAAAATATCATTCTTGTTCAATGGTTTCCTGAAATAGAGATCATGGCGAAGTACCACCAGTTGTTGATCTTCATCAAGGGTATGGGAGCACATGTGAAGAAAACTGTTATCAAAAGAAAGAATTTTCTTCCCCAGATATCTGACAGTGCGCCTGAAGAACAACTTTTATAATAATAATTATAAAAATACTATTTTTTAATGAAACTTGCAAGCTTCAGATATTGGTCTTAGGCTTCCTTTCAAACGTTTCTTTTGACAGAAAAGATGTTAAAAATAATCAGAAAGTCAAGAAATAACAATATTTTTTGTTTACTGTTTGAAATCTATAGAAATAGTAATAATATTTAAAATGGCAAAAATTTTACGTTGCTCGAGAAAAAAAAAAATCTCCGATATTCATCATTTTACACAGTTTTATTAACAAACTAAGAAATCTTATACAATAGGTTAACGACAATATACCCAGTTTTATTTTTCAAGAACACTCCCTAAAGATGCAACGTGTTTATACAGTGATAATAATAATACTTACCAATAAGAGGAGCTGAGAGGAAAGAAAGTAGTCCCTTGATTCCCATAATGAGACCGTTCATGAGAAAGGTGTGGTCAGGGAAGGTTTCGTTCAACACAGTGATCATCGGGGAGGTGAGGAGACCCCAGGCGAAGAACTCGAGGAATATGACCACCAAGGCGTGGTGAATACTCGCCTCACCTAGATCAAATCAAATCAAATCAAATCAAATCAAATCAAATCAAATCAAATCAAATCAAATCAAATCAAATCAAATCAAATCAAATCAAATCAAATCAAATGCAATAAAATCAGTTTAGATCAGATCAAACCGTTCTATCCTTTTTACCATTTACATTGCCCAAAAATGAAGTGACATAGTCGGCCTGTGGTCGTGTAGCTTTCCTTAGGTATTATAAGGTAAAATTTGCTTTTCAATATGCTTTAAATATTTTAAATAAAAATCAATAAACCAAGAGCAGAAAAATTTGTGAGAAAGTTGAACTGAATAGGTATGGCTAATAAAGTTTAATAACTTGAGACCTAGAGTTGTACAAAATTGGCCGAACTCGATATCTTTCCACAACAAAATGAACCCCGTCAAAAAAACCATTTTCACTTATTTCTTTAATACAATGGGACATTTTCTATATGTTCCTTCACTATTCGTGTGTTAATATTCTTGACCTTTGAATTTCTTCTTATATTGTAAGTCTTACCTAAACCCCCGGATGTTACTACTCCCTCCATTTTCTTGGATTTAGGAACTCTCATGATCAGACCGACAACCTTCTTCCCCATCTTGCTGGGGATCTTGATCATGGTTGAGAATGGGTTCTTGACATGAGTAGCACTGCTACCCCGTCTTCCGCCCAAGGATTGACCGTATGCAAAATGTTTCCCACCAGACAATTCCTCACTCCTACAACAAGAAATGTAGACAAATAAAAATTATTTGAATTATACACCAAATACCGAAAAACCCCTCTTCCTCCCAAGATAACAAAAAAAATAACAACTTCAGTTTTTCGAAATTATTTAAATAACTCATACCTTCCAGAGCTTGAGGAAAGACTTCTTTTGTCTGTGGACAAACTTCTTTTGTCAGAAGACGACGACATTTAACACTCAAAACTAAAAGAAATTAAATAATATGAAATCATTTAAATTTGGAAATATGGTAAAACTAATCTGCTAAAATTTGAAGAATTTTACTCTTGTCATTTTGATAGAAAATTTTCTTCAAAATCATTTATTTACTAAATCTTCACTGGTTGATTTTAATTGAAGTTCGTTGACTTTACCTTTTCCTATTTAGCTGGTATTTCTCCGAAATGGTGGCAGGTTGAATAATCTGAAGAAAAAAAACGTTCAAAATAAAGAGGACAAAGGAACTGCGGAAGTAAAGTGAACACATTTAAAGAGTTGCATGCCTGATTCAGAACTGCACCCTGTATCTAATGAACAATATAGATAACGTCGTTTATCTTTGTCAAACACGTTGAATTGTTCATTTTATTCTTTTACAATTCCTTTAAAAATTTCGGTTATTAAATAAGGATATCTCAAACATTTCTTAAAGGAAACCATTGTGAAGCTGACATGGTCCGGTTCTAATTCAACTTCACCTTGTTAGAGCCAGAGTTCCAACAGCTGTACTGAGAAGTATTACAGAAACCTTGGCAACAGCTCCTTTCTGGTGCTGTCGTTGAGAGTAAAGGAACCCAGAAATAAGACCTAGAGCTCCTCCACCAATGATTCTGCACTCTAAACCTAATATTACAAAGCCAATTCAATCACAAATGCAATGTGACCGTGAAATGTAGGAATTGAGTCATGTTGATACTTTTTCGGAGTGAATTATCTCTCCACACATTATTAAGTATAAAAAATAGAACTTGAAAGGTCTGTCGTTAAAATGTAATGCACAAATCCCTTTCATATAGAAGACACAATTGAAAGTAATCTGTTCTTATAAGGATATCTAAGTCGTGCTTGACTAGACAAACTTTATAAGGAAACCGCTGTGAATCGGAATCGGAAAATCGCAAATGATTAAAAACTTCTCTAATAACGATATACAAATATCGGTCTGTCCAAGATGACGATTTTTCGACCCCACCCCTGCAATCAATGTTTTACATGACCTATATTTTAACTATTTTCAACAAAAAAAAATAATTATTTGTATTATGTCATGATAAGGTTAGGTTAGAACAATTTTGGGCCGAGCGCTGCGGCCAGGACAGGCCTTCCATTTCAAAAATATTCAACAAAATTAGTATATATTTAGGGTAACGTTAGGTTAAGACACTATCTGGTCCGAGCGCTGCGGCTAGGACAGGCTAGGGGGCCGAGCGCTGCGGCAAAATGAACAATTTACTGTGTTAAATATGAGATGGATTTACAAAATTGATGATGGGGGGTTGGAGGGGTCCAAATATCGTTTTCTCTAGGAAATTACCCAAATATCTTCAAACACTTACAATCTTTAACACTTGACATTGATGTATTGAGTGAATTGAGTAGAAGAGCTGAACTAACATTTTCTTCCTCTTAATTATAACACTTTCTTCAATTCAATTTCTCAAACGTAACTATCAAATTTTTTATAAATTTCTAAAACAAAATTATATAATTTAAAATAATATGCGCTAATCAAGAAAATCATGACAGCAGATCTTTTTCATTTTAGACAATTTTTTAAAAAATAAATAAAAAATAAAGAAGAGCATCAAATATTTCTCTATCAGAAACTCTTTACGTGAATCTACTAACTGCCGCGTTCAATTGATCCAAAACTTAAATAACCTTCAAATCAAGGTCGTCTTTTAAAGAAACCTTATACGATTAATTTTTAAGTTCTTACTGACCTGACCGAGGGGGGGAGTCCAGAGTTTCTCAAATAGTAATCACCGCCACCCAAATCTGTTTCGCGGCAAGCGCGCTCCTCAATTGGTAATCTCCACCACCTCAAATAGTAATCACCATAAAATTTTGTTTTATGTGATATGAATTTAATGCACTTTTAACACAATTTTCGACATCTATCGGGGTTATATGGCATCTGTATTGACTTAACCTAAATTTTCAAATTATTTTCAGATTTTTTTGGTCAACAAAAACTGAGAATCAAGGCACAGTTCATTTTAGCCGAATCTTAGATCCAATTGGCCACTTTAATGACTGCATTTCATGATTGGCGTCAAGATACAAAAAAGGTCGGGCTGCCTGTTTACTAAAAATTATCTCATCGCGCACAAAGTAATATCAATCTCCATTTAAAAGATATTTTCAAAAAACCTTTACAGTGTTTAGATTTTTGTATTAGCCAACTCGAGTTCAACATCTACAACAAAACTAATTATATGCATAGAAAGGACTTAAAATTTACTAAAAATTATCTCATCGCGCACAAAGTAATATCAATCTCCATTTAAAAGATATTTTCAAAAAACCTTTACAGTGTTTAGATTTTTGTATTCGCCTACTCGAGTTCAACATCTACAACAAAACTAATTATATGCATAGAAAGAACATAAAATTTTGAAAAATTAGTCTCATCACACCAACTACTGAAAATGAAGTATTTAGTCCACTAATAATGGGTTAAAGTTTCCTCTGCATATAAGGAGTTTAAAACAACATTCAGAGGAAAATGCCGCAAACATTCTTAAAGCGAAACTTGAAACTAAAAAACGTAATATTTTTCTAGCACTTAGTGTGGCATATTTATTGATTTATTTTCGAAACTAAGGAGCAATAAAGAAAGCTTTAACAATATTGTACACCATAGGGCCATTAAAAGAGGTCAATATGGTCTTATTTCTAAGAAATAAACGATTTAATTTTATGCTTTTTTGGGGTGATTACTATTTGAGGTGGTGGAGATTACCAATTGAGGAGCGCGCTTGCCGCAAAACAGATTTGGGTGGCGGTGATTACTATTTGAGAAACTCTGGACTCCCCCCCTCCCTGACCTAGGGGAAAAGGACCATCACATACGGGCGGGTTAGGGGGAGGGGGGCCTGGGCCCCCCTGAAACATTCGCACATATATAGTTGTATATATTTTGGTAGGGAATTTTTTGTGATTTTGTAAACTTAAATTTGTTGAACTACAAAGAAGAAATAGGAATTTACTCTTTTTGTTCAATTTTTAGGAAGGGGGGGGGGGTAGAAACATTTTCTTTCGCGCGCGTATGTATGAGATATTGGTCAAATCAGCCCCTGCCCTCACTCTAGGGTTATTACTTATATAAGCTAAATATAAAGAGATTTATAGTATCCTGAAGAATGCCTAGCATGATACATAATGTTGATATAATAAAACTTCAAATTATGTTTTGAATACTTATTTTCTTAAAATAAATACTATTTATACACGGATCAGGTACGTCTCTACATTATGCATTATGATTTCAATACATTTAATATAATCCGAGTCGCTGTATAACCAGCGCTCAGGATTTGAAGGGGAGAAAAAATTTTCAGTTTTTCATAGAATTTCTTCTACATGAGCTTACAACACATAGCCCATTCTGATCTGAAAAATTGTTTATTAAAACTATGATTGATATTTATCTTTCTTCTCCACCACTTCTTGCTGTTAATGAAATCAGGCCACAGGACAGATATTTTTATAACATGTTTCAAATTAATAAACAGGGTTACCCACAAAATATGAGACTCTATTGAAATCCCAAAACTACAAAACTATGAAGATCTGATGGTCAATTTTGATTTTCTGTCTCTAATTTAGTTATTAATAGTTTATATACTAAATAGTCAAGCAAAAAAGCTAGTAAAGTCTTTTTCTCTTACGCTCAAATGATTGTTTGAAATTCTAAATTTTTAAATCTTTTGAGTTTTGATAAATTAATGCTATATCTCAATAAATTGCAATATTTTTCAAAGGTGACATTGCAACCCCTTACTTAAAAGGGGGCGGGGGGTACCTCTCATCTTGACTCCCCCTGGCTATGGGCTTTGTTGGACAGGGGGGGGGGGGAGTCGACTCAATTGTTTTAATTTAAAAATCATTAGAAAAATGTCCAGAAATAGAAATTCATATCACTTATATGAACACTTGCTCTATGAATAATAAAAATTATTGTTTTTGTGAATTATTTTAGTAAAACTATTGTAATTCATTAATTTTTAAAAAAAACACAACGTGATATTTGGGCGAGCAGAGCGAGTTATGGTGAATATATATTTTTTCATTATTGTTATTCCCTGTGATCTAAAACTGTTATTGAAACCGTTGTATTGTGTCAAAAGTAACTTTATTTATGTATTTCGTGTGTCCCAAACAACAAGAAGGATCATATAAGACTTTAAAAGAGTTCAAAATTAGTCCAAAGATATCTAGCTTTCACTTTGGATAGGTCTAATCCAATTTGTTTTATCAAACTTGTTTTTAAGTACAGAATATCCCACAAAGATGACATTTCATGACAATTTTCTTCCGATTCACTAATCTGAGCTAATTTAGCTACGTTAATAAAGAAATTATGTATAGAAACGTTTTGCCAACCTAATTTTACATAATTTTATATCTACTAATTTATTAAATTGTATAAAACATAAATTATTACAAAAATATAAAGTCATTTTTCTAGTTTTATAATGGTTATATGCGTTGCATACAACATAACATTAAATTACTTTTTTGTAATCACTTTGTTAAGTGTAAGTAGATACATAATTATTAGTTACAAAATATAAAAATACAAGAGGTAAAAGGATCTTTAACAAATGATGACAACTCTGTGAATTTTTTGTGCATTAAAGACTAATTAATAATTTTTATTGTAAAACATTTGTTGTGTGTATGTCATGTGAATCTTTAAAGAGATTATAATTGTTTAATTGAAGATTTCTGGATGAGATTTTGAATAAAAACAGAACAAAAAATTAAGTTTAAAAGTTAAAACGATTGAAAATAAAGATGTTAGATCCAACTCTAGAATTTAACAATGGAAGATCTTAAATATCACAGTATGCGTAGAACGACTAAAGTTCGTTTCTCAACTCTGAAACCTTTAGTCGAATGTATTTAACAAAGTCGGCGGACTTCCGGCCGCCGGAATAATCTTCTACCTCCACCCCACGGCGGAATAACTTCAAAGTTGGATATCCTCGGATGTTGAACCTGGAAACAATTTAAAATTAGGATTATGTAGCTTTTTACACTTATAAAGGTATTTCATTTTAACTAGGTCGACATGGAAGCTATAAACTATAGATATATATGAATTTTCTAGTTCCTGTTCCTGTGTAGCATCTACTGTAGCTAGATCATATATATTACCGTTTTCCTAGTTCCTGTTCCTGTATAGCATCTACTGTAGCTAGAACATATATATTACCGTTTTCCTAGTTCCTGTTCCTGTGTAGCATCTATTGTAGCTAGAACATATATATTACCGTTTTCCTAGTTCATGTTCCTGTGTAGCATCTATTGTAGCTAGAACATATATATTACCGTTTTCCTAGTTCCTGTTTCTGTGTACCATCTATTGTAGCTAGAACATATATATTACCGTTTTCCTAGTTCCTGTTTCTGTGTACCATCTATTGTAGCTAGAACATATATATTACCGTTTTCCTAGTTCCTGTTCCTGTGTAGCATCTACTGTAGCTAGAACATGAGGAACCTCAGCCTTTGTTAATTCTTCTGCCGCTCTAAAAAAAAAAGGAAACTGTGCACTTTACAGAAATACATGTTGAAATCGAATATCTTTAAAACGAAAAAAATCAGTTTTAAATTAAAAATAATCGAATTATTTTTATTTTTTTAACAAAAAAGAATAATTGTTGGTTTTAAGCTTTAAAACTAAAGATTGACCTATAAAGCCGCGTTTTTTTAAAATCAAAGCAAAAACTCCCCCCCCCCCCCTCGCTAAAAAACATTTCTGCTAGAAAATACATTTTTGAAAATCTAATAAACTAAAGTTATGCTTATTGTGCGCCCATCTTGCAAAATGAATGCTATGTAGGAGCAGCACGTACTTTACAGAGTGGAGGTATCAGGATAAAGATTAAGGACAAACCTGGCGTACTCTGGTTTCATAGATTTACAGTGTCCGCACCAGGGAGCATAGAACATGATAAGGACGGTATCCTTGAACCTCAGGAACTCCTCAAACTCTGCTCCTTTTAGATGCTTGAGATAAATATTACCAGGAACCTTAGACCAGTCCTCCTCAGGACTAGGAGGAGCAGGAGCTTGCCCTAAACAAACAAAATACTTGAATTTTTTTAGGATCAAAGAAACGGATTAATACTAAATCCCAACAAAGATTAATTTTTCATCAGAATTTAAGTTTTCACAAAAAGGTAGATATTTTTTGGCGAACATTGGAAATGAGAAATTTTGGAAATTTAGCAAAATTAACATCTGAACATAAAAAAATAAAAGCGCAAAAACATTAAACAAGGATTCTCGTTAAATATGGGACTATCAAATCAAATCAAATCAAATCAAATCAAATCAAATAAAATCAAATCAAATTAGACTTATAGAGATGTCCTACTACCACATGACAACTTTCGAAATGACTTTACTAATTCTCAAGTTTAATGTGGGCTTATGATTCGTATATAAATTGGAATGATTACCACAAAACCAAGCCTAAGGCTTCATCACTCCTCCTTCCCCTCCAATAAAAATCAAACATCCAAAAAAACCAGCCCAAATTGACGAAAATTAAAAAAACCTTTACCTGCTGTAGGGGATTGTGGATCCTTCATATAATTAACAAAATCCTTCTCCGTTCTCCCCCCATCGTAATCCTTCTGCTCCTTGTTGAAGTAGCTGAAGTACTTGAAGGATGGGAATCCGTTCACATTGTACGCACTGCAAACAGATTTATGAATTGTACAGTCAACAGCCACAAACTCAACTTTAGGATTATCTTTATATGCAGCAGCTGCTGCAGAAAACTCAGGTTTAGCACGCTTACAATGCCCGCACCAGGGCGCGTAGAATATCACAAGAACGTGCTTCTTCTTCTTAAGGAAGGTTTTAAAGTCCTCTTCTCCTAGATGAACAACGTCGGAGGGTTCCTCGGACCAAGGTTTCTCCGGAGGTGGGGGTGGCGGAGGTTCCTTAGGATCAGACATAAACTTAATAATTGCTTCTTCTTCCCTGGCGTCTCCGGCGTTAAATGCAAATTCTCCGTCCTTGAAATACTGGATAGAAGGAAACCCTTTGATTTCAAACCGTTTGGAGAGTTCGGTTTCTTGAGTACAATCCACTGCAGCCAGCTTCCCGGCGATACCTTCCTTCTTCATCCTGGAGCAGGAGATAATAAGTTAAATAAAGGAGAGAAGTGATTTTAAACGATTAGTGACGAAGTATATATTTTTCAAACTGCATTGTGACAGTATCCGGGACAATTTTTGACTGGATACAAAAGTAGATTTCATTAACATCTATACAATTTAACCAGAAAACAGTGATATGATTCTCTTCCTCTTTCTTTTAACTCTATGAAATGACGCTGAAGATTTTGTAATTTGCATCTGTATCATTTGTAAAAAATGTTCTCTTAACATTTTCAGAAATATATGTATCAATTAAATAAATAAAAATAAAAATAATAAAAGAAAAGAAAATGACCTTTCACTGTTTTCTGGTCATCAATGTATTGCAAAGTAATAATACCTTGCAGAAGCAGTCACGAAATGAGGTTTAGCGCGTTTGCAATGCCCACACCATGGCGCATAAAACATGATAAGCGCACTCGGCTCGTTCGCAAGGAATTCGTCGAAGGTTGCGTCGGTAAGATGAACAACTTCACTTGGTTCATCGGCCCAGGAGGTTTCCTTAGGTTTTGCGACCGGCGCAGCTGTTGGATCTTCCAGGAATTTTATTATTTCCTAGATATTAACTTTAATCGTACCAGGCAAAAAAAAACTCAATTAATCAATCAATTGATAACATTAACATTTTCAAGCGATTCGTGACGGACCAGGGTATCGTAGTGAATCCTTAACAGTATTTAAAAACGGAGAAATCGGTTAAATTAAACTTTTTTTTATCAATGGATAGACTTTAAATCTTAAAAATAATAAATAAATAATAATACTTGACTCAAACGTACAAAGAATGTGGTTACTGACTAATTAACTTCAATATGCAAACAAATATCAACAAAAAAACTTGTTTTTCTCTAACATTTCTCTTACATAAACCCGCTAGTCATTTTCGAAGGAAATCAATCAATCAATCAGAGTTTAAGGGATGTCCTACTATCTACATACCAATCTCGAGATGAATTTACTATATGAATTTATAAATATAAATCGATTGGAATCGGATTTTTAAATTCAGGGTCACTTGAAAATTACGTTAACAGTTCCTTTAATATTTTAATATTTACCTGTTTATTATTTCCTCCCTCGTATTGGAATTTCATTTGTCCATCCTTGAAGTAAAGGAGAGTAGGAAACCCTGGCAGTAACAAGGTTTCATAATTCATAATTCAAAACAAAATTGGACGAATAATAGAAATAATTCAAGTAAAGGAGAGTAGGAAACCCTTGCAGAAACAAGGTTTCATAATTCATAATTCAAAACAAAATTAGACAATTAATAGAAATAATTGAAGTAAAGGAGAGTAGGAAACCCTGGCAATAACAAGGTTTCATAATTCATAATTCAAAACAAAATTAGACGAATAATAGAAGTTATTGAAGTAAAGGAGAGTAGGAAACCCTGGCAATAACAAGGTTTCATAATTCATAATTTAAATCATCATTAGACAATTAATAGAAATAATTGAAGTAAAGGAGAGTAGGAAACCCTGGCAATAACAAGGTTTCATAAGTCATAATTCAAAACTTGGTATATTCAGAAAAAGGTAAAATTGTAAAAATAATAAAAATTTTCTTTTAAAACCTTCCTGTTATATTAAACTTTCTACTAATAGGAGTATTTTCAGGTTTATTTACATCCATAGCAGCCAGTACAGCTTTCCCTTTCATCTCTCCAGCTGCAACCTATTCAATACATAGTTGTATATATACAATACATAGCATCCAGTACAGCTTTCCCTTTCATCTCTCTAGCTGCAACCTATTCAATACATAATTGTATATATACAATACATAGCAGCTAGTACACCTTTCCCTTTCATCTTTCCAGCTGCAATCTGTTTAAATACTGAGATGTCTTAAATACAAAACATAGCAATTAGTAAAATCTCCAGCTGCAACCTTTAGAATTCAATTGGTCATCATGCATTATTATATAGATACATATAATACATAGCAGTATCTACACTCTGCACTCTACCTACACGCTACACGCTACACGCTACACGCTACACGCTACACGCTACACGCTACACGCTACACAGCAAAGCATAGCATAAATAAATCATATACTATGGCGGGCCGGTTCGATCCCTTCTCCAGTATATTCCATACTTCTTGTTCTTTACTCACCTGGTAATCTGGTTTCATTCGTTTACAGTGTCCACACCACGGAGCATAGAACATTATCAGAACCTGGACCAAGGAACTTAAATTCAAACAACGCATCCATCTCATCCGGATCCGGACCCTGAATTAGTCCGGTAAAAATGGATTCGGACCTGGGTCAGTATTTCTTAAGTTTATTAATTTTGTTCACCAAAAAATGGTTTACCGCATTTTATCTCTCGCAGATTTATAATTATAAACGATTGGGAAAGTTTCAGTAATGTTTTATCAAATAGATTGCGGGGCTTGAGTTTTACAATTCCACTCTGATCACCTGTAATGGAAATAGATGATTTTTTGACAAATTAAAATTGTTCCTTTTTAAATTTGAAAGATCGCCAATGCAAGCAAATCAAATCAAATCAAAAGTAGTGACATTTGTTTTTCTTTACAACCAAAAAGTCATTTCGCATGGCAGTTTTGATTTTACAGAAATATCTTATTTAGTGATCAAGTTCCCCGTTCCTTTCCGGTCTCCGCTTTCATAAATCTGTTGAAGTGTGCTGGAGTGTTGAGATGGACAACATCTAGAGAAGCAGGATCCTCGTCCCAAGGCAGATCCCCTGGATTATATAAGNACTAATCCTGCAAAACTACATGTAAGATCCTTGAAAAAAGTAACTATTCCTGCTGAACTACCTGTAGAATCCTTGAGAAATGTAACTAATCCTGCTGAACTACCTGTAGGATCCTTGAGAAATGTAACTAATCCTGCTAAACTACCTGTAGGATACTCGAGAAATGTAACTATTCCTGCTGAACTACCTGTAGGATCCTTGAGAATTGTAACTAATCCTGCTAAACTACCTGTAGGATCCTTGAGAATTGTAACTAATCTTGCTAAACTACCTGTAGGATTATTGAGAAATGTAACTATTCCTGCTGAACACCTGCAAGATCCTCCAGAAATGTAACTAATCCTGCTGAACTACCTGTAGGATCCTCGAGAAATGTAACTAATCCTGCTGAACTACCTGTAGGATCCTTGAGAATTGTAACTAATCCTGCTAAACTACATGTAGGATCCTTGAGAAATGTAACTAATACTGCTGAACTACCTGTAGGATCCTTGAGAAATGTAACTAATCCTGCTGAACTACCTGTAGGATCCTTGAGAAATGTAACTAATCCTGCTGAACTACCTGTAGGATCCTCGATAAATGTAACTAATCCTGCTGAACTACCTGTAGGATCCTTGAGAAATGTAACTAATCCTGCTGAACTACCTGTAGGATCCTTGAGAAATGTCACTAAGGATTTAAGGGACTCCGCCCTGTCATAATCCTTGTGGAAGTCCCCGTCCTTGTAGTGCTTCAACACGTAGCTCGTCGTAGACACCTTCATCTTCTTACACAATTTCTTCCCATCCTTGTCCCCGCAGTTAACTGTAAGGATGGTTGCGAGTCCCTTCACATCTATGGACGCGTCCGCCAGGATCCCCTGGATATCCCCAGCACTCTCCTTGGCGGAGTAAAGCACTAGAATATTATTCTTTGTTCGAAGCAACTTTTTAAATTCTTTCTGGTCTGTAACAGATTCAACTAAAGACTTGGTAGATTTCTTGGCACCCATCACGGTTGTGACTAAAATGGCAAAAATTGGCCATTTCAAATACATTCTTCTTCTGAAACATTTAGTTAATAACAAAACTGATTTTTTTTTTCTGAAAAATTCATTAATTGATTTAAATAAATGGTAGTGGTGGTTAAGTATCACAGCTCTCTTCAGTGTCTGAAATCCGTCTTTTCTTTGTTTCACTTTCATACTCTTCATCTTTTTTATCTTCCACATTCTCCCCTGTCTCATTCTCCTCCTTAAGCATTTCATCTATGCTCTCCTTGGTCTCATCCTTCTCATCCTTTTCATCCTTTTCATCCTTTTCATCCTTCTTCTCCTTCTCAACCTTCTCCTCCCTTTCCTCCCTCTCCTCGCTCTCCTCCACACTCTTCCTTTTTAGACTTGATTCATCCGGAATGGTTTCTCTGTCATCTAAACAAAGGAAATAACCATTAGTTCTCAAAACATTAATAAGTAAGGAATTTTTCTTCAGAGACAGGTTGTTTGATAGTGCATTGGAGTGGAAATAAAACTGCATATAATTCACTATATGTCATTAAATCTTTCTATCGTCTATGTTTTCGTCCATATATAACATGTATTCAGAAGGGGACTGTAGTTTCAATGGTAATCAAAAGCTTAGACTGATCAAGTATGAATTAGATATCAATGTCTATAATTTTGAAAACTGATAATTTTTAATTGTGGTTTCTCTACAAAAGTGACTTGCTCATTACTTTTATTGGAAAACATAAAGAAATTATCAGAATTAAACACTTTTCTAGCTGGAAAAAAAACAATATCTTCCACATTTATGACCAGATAAAGGCCAAAGAGAAACAAGTATTATAGGATTAGGATTTTAAAAAGTTTTATTTACCATCTGAGTCCTCCAACATATCTTTATTCTCTTCATCCTGTTCCATCTCCTCGTCCTCCTCATCCTTCACGTCATTAGTGTCGTCCTGTTCCTGGCACTCCGTCTTAAGATTAGTGTCCTTAAGGTCGTCTTTGTTTGTGTCCTTAGAGGACAGTCTGGATATCTCATCCTTTGCTTCCCTGAATAACAAGTTACTAAAGATAATTATGAAAGAGACTGTAAACGTAATTTTAAGTGACCCTCTTTTTAAAGAGTGGTAAACCGGATTCCCAATGGTATCCTTTAAACCTCTATCTGAGTATCAATGACGAAGATAGGTCGTGTCGGGTTGAATTCCGACAATTTCCTTCACTGTCTCGATGTGGAATAAATCTGTAACTTTTAACCACAATTGAAAATAATCAATTTTTACATGATTGTTGTGAATCTGACAAGCCAATCTTTTTTTAATGGAGTCTCTCAAAAAAACCCTCTACAGTTCAGTGGATGAAAAATCCTTAAAAGACAGCAAAAAAGTTCTGGTAACAGGAATAGTTTCATTCACAATCAAATCCTTGATCAAGTCCTAGGAAGAAATAACAAAGTAAACTTAAAAAACAAGAAAAATTGCTTTAACCCTGTAAAGGCAGGGTGCGCTAAATCTATGAAAAGCCGGGGGGGGGGGGGGGGGAGGATCGTTGTCAACAAAATTAGACTGCTAACTTTTATAGATTGGGTGCCAGGGAGGTTTGATAAATATGTAAAAAAAAGGTCAGAAAATGTTAAAAAAAAATTATTTTGACAAATATTAAAATGTGACACAAGTTTTTACCTTCATTTTTCAAGGGCTTTTAAAAAATATGGGTATTATAGCTTTTACAGTTAAAACTTTACGGGATTTTTAGATTTTATTTAACACCCTGTAAAAATATTAAAGGTGATTGTGTCAAAAATGAGAGTTCTAAGGCAAAAAAAAACAATAACAAAAATAAAAACAGAAAGCTGTTGTTTCGTTCCAACAATTCCAAAAATAACAATGGTGACTGATTACTAAGTGGGTCTAGTATTGACTGTTTCTAAACATTTTACAACATGTTGTTTCAACTTCACAATTTTACAATCAAATAAAAAATCGATTTGTTTTCGGGTCTCAAGTCTAAAGTTCTGAACCCAAAATTGAAAAAAACAACTTTTTAAAATGAAAAAAAACAAGACAGACTAGGAGTAAACATATGAATGATACACGGGGAAAGGAAAAATTCAGTTTAAAAAGAAGAAAGAATTTAAAACGATGGATAAAGAAGAAAGAAGGAGAACTGGGTGAGGAAAAGTAAGATAAAATTGCTTTTAGGAGAAGAGAAGATTTAACTATTATTCAAATTTTATTTTTGGTTTAAAATGTACATACAGTAATTAAACATGTATTAATAAAGTTTTGATTTAGTGTATAAGCTATTTGAATAAAAAGCATTTAACGTTTTTTAACTTTACATAGACAAAACTTTGGTACAATATTTACGTAAATTCAGAGTTTTATTACCATGAAAATTGAACAGAACACTCTTAATATGAAAACCAACTTAAATTGAAAAGCTGGGAGTACCGAAATTAGAAAACTTATTAAATTAATTGCGTAAAATTTAAGAACAGAAAATTAAATGTTAATTTTATCAGATGTAACATACCTAACAACTAGGAAAAAAAAAGATTTTTAACAGGGGGGATTTAAAAAAATATTTGCTCCTAAAAGAAAGGGCATTAACGAAATGCAGAACTGTAAAAAGAAAAATCGTTTAAAAGACCTGGAACCTTTCCCTTTTAAGGGTCAGTGGGCGGTGAATCCCGGCCGAGAGAGGTGGGCTGTGGGGCGGGGGAATTAAGGACAAGATGATACAACACTTTTTGAATCTCCGCACAGTGGTTTATCACGTGATGAGATCAGTTCCTGCTTTCACTGATCTCCCCCTACCTCAAAAAGCAGTTTATCTACATGGAGAAGAACATAAAAGAGATTCGGGGACCTTCATTCGATAGTTTTAGAACCCTCATCAAGTTTCTTTGATCTTTATACTGGAGAAGAGAAAGATATAAGAAGTTTTAGTGATTTAAATATTCTGTTTGATATCTACGGTCTGATTATCTTGTACCATATCCGGGGGATCAAGGTTCTAATTCAGAGCTATCTTCAAACTGAGGTTGAGATCCCTCTAGAGAGGCTGGTCTACTGCCTCCAGGTCCTGGAGATGTACAAGGTTGATTTTGAGTTCTAAGATTTAATTAACATCCTCCTATTGAAAAGTTCTATACTTGCTATCTTGGCATGGAATATTCTCATCTGTCTCAAACTTGGGAACTATTCAGTATTCAGTAAGAACATTCAACTCTGGAAGATTGGAAAGGCATGAAAAAGGATATTGAACAAATTACGAAAGCATTACAGGTAAACAAGGCAGCGAGAGGAGGAACAGAAACTTCATGAACAGAGAGAAAAAGAGAAAAAACCAGAGATAAGGAAAAGAACGAAAACCAAGAGCAGAAAGAGAAAAACAGCAAAGAACAGGAAGAGAAAGAACAAGAATACCGGGAACAGAAAGAGAAAGAGCGCAAGGAGTAGGAAGATAAAGAACGCAAAGAGCAGGAAAAGAAAGAACGAGAAGCGCAGGAACAGAAATAAAAGAGAAAGAACGAGAAGACCAGCAACAGAGAGAGAAAGGGACAAAACGCAAAGCGGATAAACAAAGAGAGAAAAAACGCAAAGAGAAGGAACAAAAATAAAAAGAACGCGTAGAGAAGGAACAGAAAGAATTCAACCGAATCAAAGAGATTACGAGCATAATCCTTTTTGATTGAAATTGGACTTCCTGCAAGAGCTTTTCGCTGGTAATTCTAGGAGTTTCATTACTAGAGTTCTTTTAATTCTTACGCTGTTACAGTGTTATGATGTTTACAAAACAACATATTTTCATTTCACAGCCGTTGTTCTTATATTTTGATCATTTAGTAATAAATTATTAAAGGTATTCGGCTTCATACGTCTAATTATAATCAGAAACTTCAGACATTATTTTAATAAAAATATTAACATCTAGGAGTAGATAAAAAATTAACCTTAGCTGCTGCTGAAGAAGAAGAATTGTACTCTGCATACCTTCAACATCCTCGTCCAATTCACTCATAAAATCGTCCATCTGATGATGTAACTTAATTTTATTAATGTCACACAAAATTTGGTCACGATCGGTTCAGTCGCTTTGACGTTTATCGGACACAAACAAATAGAAGGCCAAAAATATGTTAAAACTAGGCCATAATGGCGCTCAGATCCGCTCATTTTCGTAATGAATGGCATACTTAAAAAAGTCCATACAAGGCATTAATTTCGAGTATATCCATTTCCTAGTATCACGTGAGTTGTCACAAAAAATTGGGCCCGATCGGTTTAGCCGATTTGATGTTTATGGGATACAAACAAATAGCAGGCCAAATACATGTAGACTAGACTCCTTCTTGTAATGCACTTTATCTCTTAATTAGTTTTTTAAATAGAAAAAAATGTTGTGTTTATTTTTAAAAACCAACCATTCTTCTGTTTATTATGACGTACTTTCAAACCAACCATTCTTCTGTTTATTATGACGTACTTTCAAACCAACCATTCTTCTGTTTATTATGACGTACTTTCAAACCAACCATTCTTCTGTTTATTATGACGTACTTTCAAACCAACCATTCTTCTGTTTATTATGACGTACTTTCAAAAGTTTTAACAAAGCATTAATTTCGACCATAACCATTCCCTGGGATAAAATGAGTTGCCACGAAAAAAATTGGGCCTGATCGGTTCAACCGTTACGACGTTAATAGTTAAAATTAAAATGCCTCGAGCTGGTTCTGCTTCATCTGCTCAGACAGATTCTTTTGCAGAGCTAGTTCTCCTTCGAGCTTTGCTAGTCTTCCACTTGAGATCATTTTTCCTAGATCCTCGTTTTCCTGAATATAGAGAAGTTCAGATATCATTTTTCCTAGATTCTCGTTTTCCTGAATATAGAGAAGTTCAGAGATCATTTTTCCTAGATCCTCGTTTTCCTGAATATAGAGGAGTTCAGAGATCATTTTTCCTAAATCCTCGTTTTCCTGAATATAGAGAAGTTCAGAGATCATTTTTCCTAGATCCTCGTTTTCCTGAATAAAGAGGAGTATAAAGATCATTTCCCTTAGATCCTCGTTTTCCTGAATATAGAGGAGTACAGAGATCATTTTTCCTAAATCCTCGTTTTCCTGAATATAGAGAAGTTCAGAGATCATTTTTCCTAGATCCTCGTTTTCCTGAATAAAGAGGAGTATAAAGATCATTTCCCTTAGATCCTCGTTTTCCTGAATATAGAGGAGTATAAAGATCATTTCCCTTAGATCCTCGTTTTCCTGAATATAGAGGAGTTCAGAGATCATTTTTCCTAAATCCTCGTTTTCCTGAATATAGAGAAGTTCAGAGATCATTTTTCCTAGATCCTCGTTTTCCTGAATAAAGAGGAGAATAAAGATCATTTCCCTTAGATCCTCGTTTTCCTGAATATAGAGGAGTACAGAGATCATTTCCCTAGATCATCGTTTTCCTGAATATAGAGGAGTACAGAGATCCTTTCCCTAGATCATCGTTTTCCTGAATATTATTATTATTATTGCAAATCAACCTAGAGTTATAGTATCGTGTGCTGCAGGTAATGTTACGTTGAGCTCCAGGGTCGAGCTCTAGTCACTTACCCGTGTCTGCTTGCATTGTAATGAGGAGTATAGAAATCTTTTTCCTAGATACTCATTTTTCTGAACTTGTAGGAAAATATGGAGCACATTCCTTATTTTTTACTGAGAGTAATCGACTAATCGAACAACAGATCAGAAAATTTATCAACTCTATCAACCAACCAACTAATGACTATTGACCAACCTGATATAATTGTCTGCATTTAGCCATTAGACGTTTGCCCGTAGCTGAATCCGAAGTGAATTTCCAGGCGGCCAACTCGTTCTGCTTATCCTCAGCCTTTAAACAATACAATTATTTTGAAGGAAGTGTTCTTTTTTTTAAGTGGGATTAAAGATGAGTTGTAATTAAATTGCTTTCATTTTGATCCGACATTTTTACCGAGCAAATCTCATTATACAAACTTAATTTTTTCCGTACTTTTTTCTTATTATGTAAAGCAGATTACTGTAGTGTAAAATTACGTGGTAAAATTTTAAATTAAAAATTTTCCAAATTATAAGTTGAGCTTTCACCAGTTTTTTAAGGCTCTCGCATTCTTTTGTGAGTTTCTGAATGATGAGGTTTACTGCAGGGTCCAATAGTGTGCTCCTACAATACAGTTAGTATTAACTAAGGGATTTGGTTTAAAAGATTTTGAGGGGAATATGAAAAGTTGGACGCCAACTTGAAACTTTGTTTTTGAAAGTAAGCATTTGTTTCCTATTAAAATCATTATTTTTCCAAAGTCAGCGATAACATTTTTTTTAATTTGCCTCAAAATTCCCTACTTACCAGTGAAAAAATTATTTTTAAAGAGTCGAGGGGAGGGATACATTTTCAACAAAATATATACCCCTGTATATATGTTCCGTTATAAACATGCATATTTCATATTACATAATTGTTAAGTTTTACACCTTTTTATATCCTGTTAACGGTAGACAACATTGAGACAGATATAAGATTGTGAGAGTATGGGAGATTTATTTAGGAACAAAAGGGAGTTTTAAAGAATATTTCTTCAGCTTAGAAAATTACGAAATTATATATCAAATATCATGATAAAAGACCTAGACTGCCGTGTGAGTCTGTGAGAACATTGAGTTAGAAAATATATAATTTAAGGAACTTGGTGGTTGAGCCTATCAGAGGTGTACGCATTTTTTTGTACTGCAGTGTGTAGTCTTTGGGCGGAAAAGTAAACACAAGAAAGATGTCACAGCCTAACATGGAATCAATTTTCACAAAAATAATCTATGAAATATTCTGGTCATAGGAAACTCAAACTATTATGTGAATTTTTAAAATTATCAAAATTAAATGCTCTTAACCTCCTCGTATACCAGACGAACACTGATGCATCTATTCTTGCTTACAAAGTCCGCCCAGAGAGAACTGGTTTCAATATGTACACAGAGTATACGCGACCGCAATTAACTTTCCTTGCATTAGTACCTTGACTTTATCTAACTTTATCTAATTGTAGATTTTATGAAGTTTTACCAGAAGGAAAGAAAAGTAGCGTAGCTGTACAAAATCTATCGCAAAAACTGCTGAAGGAAAGCTGCTAAATTACCTGAGAGCAGCTGTGGTTGGGAGCTGTGAGGATTTAAGTTCAGCTACTTGTGCAGCTAACTCCTAAATGATATAATAACGATTTTATATGTACTAAAGACAATTTTGATAATTTTCTTAAATATCTTTTCCCTTTTTCATAGATACTAGAAAAAAACCGGAAAATTTGTTTACCAGAACTATACAAAATTCCTGTTTTAATTTATATGGCGGATGAGTTTTTTGTGACCTGTATTTCATGTTCCTTAGCAGTTAGTCTCATCACCAGGAGATGTTCTCGTCTTGAACTCTCAACCTTAATCTTCTCATCAACATCCTAATCAATTTCAAGGTTAGCAGTTAGTATTATCACCAGGAGATGTTCTCGTCTTGAACTCTCAACCTTAACCTTCTCATCCGCTTCCTAATCAATTTCAAGTATAGCAGTTCGTATCATCACCAGGAGATGTTCTCGTCTTGAACTCTCAACCTTCACCTTCTCATCCGCTTCCTAGTCAATTTCAAGTATAGCAGTTAGTATCATCACCAGGAGATGTTCTCGTCTTGAACTCTCAACCTTAACCTTCTCATCAACATTTTAATCAATATCAAGGTTAGCAGTTAGCATCATCACCAGGAGATGTTCTCGTCTTGAACTCTCAACCTTAACCTTCTCATCCGCTTCCTAATCAATTTCAATCAACCAATAAAATACATTTAAATTTGGTAAATAAAATCAATCTCCAATTCAAATAATTAATACAGACAATCATCATCATACAAACTCGATTTATCATTTCATTAATAAACTTCTAACAATTCAGTTTTTCATTAAATAAATTAATAAAAGATGTTCTTAATCCAGATGATCAATTAATCAATTCAAAAAACCGACCCCAAACACTTAATATCAACCTTTTTCAATTCATTTTTTCATATACATGAATCCCACATCAATACATAAATTTAAATAGCCAACCTTTGTGGAACTGTTTAGTTTCTCTTCAAGATAATTTATATATAAATCCTGCTCTGTCCACAACTATCAATACAAATCAAATTAAATAAATTATAATAAATCAATCTTTGCTAAATATATCAATTAACAGAAGTTTGAATGATAACACGTTCTGTGAAAAACAATGTACTTAAGTTAATCCTTTTATCAAATTTCTCAAAAATGATTACGCCAACTTTTAGATGTTATATTAAGAAGTAAATTCACATGAGTATCAAGGAAAAAGTAAGATTTAAGATAAGGGAGGGGGGTTTAAGATAGTGATAAAAAGAAGTAATATTTTTTTGATCGGTTGATTTATCTATTCCTGTTGTAACTGTTGGAGGCTTAGTTCTTCTTCAGGTAGAACAACGCGGGTGGGTAAACAGTTCTCTACCTAGTACATTTTCATTGGTAAACTGTTCTCTACCTAGTAGATATTCATTGGTAAACAGTTCTCTACCTAGTACATATTCATTGGTAAACTGTTCTCTACCTAGTACATATTCATTGGTAAACAGTTCTCTACCTAGTACATGTTTATTGGTAAACAGTTCTCTACCTAGTACATATTCATTGGTAAACAGTTCTCTACCTAGTACATATTTATTGGTAAACTGTTCTCTACCTAGTAGATATTCATTGGTAAACAGTTCTCTACCTAGTACATATTCATTGGTTAACAGTTCTCTACCTAGTACATGTTTATTGGTAAACTGTTCTTTACTTAGTACATATTTTTTAGGTAAACTGTTCTCTACCTAGTACATGTTTATTGGTAAACTGTTCTCTACCTAGTACATGTTTATTGGTAAACTGTTCTTTACTTAGTAGTACATATTTTTTAGGTAAACTGATCTCTACCTCATTGGTAAACTGTTCTCTACCTAGTACATATTTAAACTGTTCTCTACCTAGTACATATTCATTAGTAAACTGATCTCTACCTCATTGGTAAACTGTTCTCTACCTAGTACATATTTATTGGTAAACAGTTCTCTACCTAGTACATGTTTATTGGTAAACTGTTCTTTACTTAGTACATATTTTTTAGGTAAACTGATCTCTACCTCATTGATAAACAGTTCTCTACCTAGTACATATTTATTGGTAAACTGTTCTCTACCTAGTACATATTCATTAGTAAACTGATCTCTACCTCATTGGTAAATTGTTCTCTACCTAGTAAATATTTTTTAGGTAAACTGATCTCTACCTCATTGGTAAACTGTTCTCTACCTAGTACATATTTTTTAGGTAAACTGATCTCTACCTCATTGGTAAACTGTTCTTTACCTAGTACATATTTTTTAGGTAAACTGATCTCTACCTCATTGGTAAACTGTTCTTTACCTAGTACAATGTACATATTTATTATTAACAACTGATCTTATTAAAAGTTTTTTCATAAAAGATTAATTTAAAATAATACAAAAGTATAGAAATGCAGTATTCCCTTTATCTAAGATTTCCCACTTTTACTGGTATTCCCAGGGCCCCCGGTAAGCTTTTTATGATGAAGAATGTAGAATTTAGATATCCATTTTTTTCTCTAATAATTGATTATTTTCAACTGCAGTTACTCTTCCAAGGTATGTATAAAAACACCTCCACATTATTGATCAGGTTTGAAGTGTACAGTTGTGAATCAGGCATCCGCCTCTTTAATGAATGAAAGGTCACGTGAAAAAAAACAACAACAGTATCTTGAAATTTTGATAAATTTTCATGACTTTACCTCCTCTGGTTGAGTTTCTCCTAACGAAGCCGTCATTTTTCTGAAATTAATTTAATCATTGCAGAGCTAAAACTATCTTAATCAAGTATACATATACAATATATTATCTATAGAGTCTAATAAACAGTCTAAAATTTTATTTTATCAGCTACAAAAATAGAAATAATAAATAATTTAAGAAAATTTTGGGAACACAATTCCTACAGAACGTTGGGAATTCGGTTTAAAGAATAATAATGAATGAATTATTGAATTTTGAAAATCTTTAAACCAAGAAATAAATGCAAGTTTTATTTCTGAATGCTTCAAGTATCAAGTTCAGTTGGAAAACACAAAACTAATAAATCAAATCACAAATTAGAATATACTACATTAATCAAAAACTTAATTTCTAGGTCAACTTTTTCATATCCCATTGAAATTAGAATTTGAAAAAATTACATATAAAAAATATAAAAATAAAAAATTTAATAAATAAACTCCCAACTTAAGTAACATAGCTGAAAACTAACTAGGTGACGATTGGCAACAAACATTCACTTCCTTAACCTAACAAATTCTTGATCGCTGATCGTTGATCATGATCTACTCGCACTTGTCCTTGACGGTGATCATGACCATGTTGGTCTGGTGGATGAGGAAGGTTGCGGAGAGGAAGACTGTTGTTGGTTGACCCTCCTTGAAATATTCTTTCAAGGTGTTAGAGAACCTAAAAAATTGAGTTTTTAAAAATAAAATGATGATTTTTTCAATTAAGAAGAAGCCACTGTGCAAAAAAATAAGGAATATAATAGACTAAATATTTTTGATTTTTAATCAGGACAAAAATTCTAAAATATTATAAGTTGTTTATAAGTTTGTCAAATCACTCAACTCACATCAGCATATATTAAAACTCACTAGTCTCAAGTAAGGAATTTAGTCTTTGTCACAAACTTTCAACAAAATTTTTCTTCGTCAGTAGTTTTATTTTTCTTGCAAACAACAATATTCGTAGTATTTTTTCGAAGGAAAACTAATTATTATTATTTATATTAATATTATTTTTAATTGGAAGCTGTTTTAGATAAATTAAAAGTTTATTTTTTCACCTTTTGCTATATTTAACAAACTCACGCTTTCGCTGCTCCAGAGCCTGCTTGCCCTGGAATATTTTTTTAAATTCAAAAATTATAATTAATTATTTAAAATAGCACGATAAGATGACATAAATCAACCAAGAAGTTTGGAGGGATTATTATACATTAAGCCGCAGTGTTTCGGATCCGTATCATTTTTAAAATTCAAAAATTATGATTAATTATTTAAAATAGATAAGATGACATAAATCAACCAAGAAGTTTGGAGGGATTATTATATATTAAGGGAACATTTTTAACGTGACAAACTATAATTTTAATCTCCTGTTCCCGTTCAACGAAATAACCAACCTTAAATTCCCTCCTTTTTTATGATTAAGAGAGTGATAAATGTAAATATAAAATTAAATTAGAGAACTATTTATTTGATAAATCTATATGGATCACAGAGGGAGGATAAGTAATTATCCTCCCTGTAAATAGGGAGGATAACTAATTATCCTCCCTGTAAATAGGGAGGATAAGTAATTATCCTCCCTGGAATTAAAAAAGGAGGGAATTTAAGGTTGGTTATTTCGTTGAACAGGAACAGGAGATTAAACGATAAATTACTACTTAACCGGGAGTTTTCATGAGGATAATTAAATTGAGGGGAAAACCACTTAGCCGAGGGCCTCCAAGACCTTTTTGGGGTTCTAAACCTCACGAGCGTAGATCTCCCGGTTAAGTAGTAATTAATAGTTTTTAATTTCTAGATAAAAAAGTGATTGAACAAAGATTCAAGGGTACCACAGTGAATCTATATCTGTTTTCCTTAAAATAGAAGATGATTAATTTTTTTTAAATCCTAATTCCGTTAATTTTTTAATTCTTCATACTCAGGCGTACAGTGTTCACTATACATGGTACGCTGTATACTGTATATAATTTTTTTTTTAATTATTACCTGGGCCCCCGGGATATACTGGGACACCTCGTTGACTGCGTCCAACAGCCTCTTGATCGCACTGGCAATCTCTTTGATCGTCTCGAGAAAGGTTCGACGATCCGTGATCTCGTCCGGGATACGGGACAAGATCTTTTTCAGGGATGCAGACTTACGGTTCAACTCCTAATAAACAAAAGAAACATAAGAATTAAGGACCCGAAAGCTTCCCGGTATAAAAGAAATCCGCCAGCGGAACAGGATAGGTACAGTAATAACCAGAAATCTCTAGATTAGAAAGTCGACTTTTAAACTCAAGTTATGACTTTAAATAAAAAGATCAAAAGGGGAAAAGGGAAACGCATAAAAAACAAGAAAGAGAAAAGAGAAATACAAAAAAGTAATGAGAGAAAATTTAAAATAAGAGAAGAGAAAATATAATCACAAGTTTGCAGTTGAAAAAAATTGTGACGGAAAGAATTAATGATAAACTTAAAAATACGAAATACAGATATCACTCCGCCATGACTCACGTTGGAGAATTATATCAAAGAATAGAATCGTGGTAAAAAATTTCCCGAGAATGGCTGATAAGCCGCCTAATATAGACAGGAATTGTTCCTTTTATATAGTAACATATGGATGAACATAGGAGATGTATTCTGTATGCTGTTTAAGACTCAGTATATATTACTAACCTGAAATGGTTCCTCAGTCCTTGAGGACCTATACTCCATGCTGTCATGATCACTCACGGACCCCTGATAAAATAAATATCTTAATAATAAACTGGAAAAGGTGGCTCTACGAGCACGTCTTAAAAATTGGTTGCATGAGAATGAAATTTTGCAGGCAAACTACTGAGGACAGACTTAAATGTGACATTATAATTATCATTATTAACAATCAACCTATAGACAAAGTACCTCGACCTGTAGGTTACAATACAATGAAAAAAGGATTGAGCTCCGACACTAGTCAAAGTCGTTTTAGATTCAGTATGTATGTCAGAAAAGTGTGGATACTGTGGGAAAAAGAAAAAGGAATGCTACAAAAGCACACATAAAAGGCGCGTATACAGAGGGTCAAGTCATTGTGCGAAGCGCGAAAAAAAATTGTTTGACCCCCCCCCCCCCTGGCCTTAAGAATGCTAACATGTGTCCTATATAGTCCATTGTAGTCCCGATTCAAGGACTATATATTAAAGTGTATCCCTTTGAATAATTCTGTATTACTCTCTGAAGTCCTAAGTAGCCTCCTGAAGACTACTCCCCTTAGTAGACCACTGTAGTTCCGATTTAAGGCCTATTTATTATCATGTATCTCTAAGTATATTTCTGTATTACTCTTTAAAGTTCTTAGTAGTCTCCAGAAGACTATCATTAGTCCTCAGTCCTCTTTAATCTCCCCATACGAGGGGGGAGTGCAGAAGTAAACGAACGCCACCCAAACGTGTTTTGCGGCATGCGCACTCCAAAATTGGTAATCAAAAATAAAAAAAGTTAATATTAGGCCGTTTATTTCTTAGAAATAAGACCATAAGTTTCGAAGTAAATCTATAAATTTTTTCAACGGGCAACGCCGGGCCCTTCAGCTAGGATATAATATAATTGATAAACGAGCGATATGTATGTAGAATAAGAGGTTATAAGTGAAAAGATCTCCCTTACATATGAAAAAATCACAAGTGCACGAACTGCAAATCATGCATGCAACCACTAAAACTAAATCAAATCACAGATAATAGGGATGGCCTACTCCAGTATTGAACCGGAGTTTCAAGTCCTTTCTATGACATGGTTTTTCAGTCTGAACTTCTTTTAACGGTTGATAAAGTTTTCAGTTAGGTATAATTTTGCAAAGTTCCCAACCACACGACCTTGAGCCCCGCTTTAGAACAGTAAAATGGAATCAAACTTATCAATATTGTTGCCCCCCCCCCCCTACCGTACCCGTCCGTGTACGAGAAAGAATGTACCTGAAGCCTAAGAATGCTCTCGTTCATGTTGACCGACATATCCGCTTTCCTGACCAGACCCATCACCAGCTCGTAGGTTATACCAGGATGGGCATGCTCCACCTATGTAAAGAATCCGAAAATTACACAAAATATTGCACTTTTTTAAAATGGAATTTGCGCCCTACCCTTCAATGATATATTCACATATATTAATCTATTCTGAAGAAAAATACTCTGCTTATATTCTCTTTATCATACTGTACCTTAGATAAGGCAGCTTTGATTGTCTGACTTGCAGATACATCTTGTTTCTCAAGATTTGACAGGATTGGTCTAAAACAATATCTACTGATAAAAAACATGATTTAATTGTTCCATTAAAAAAATATAATTTAATTTAATTCTTAATTAATCTTAATTGACTGATTTAATTTAATTCAAACTCTAATTACTTGTGAAAAAAAAAAACATTTTAAAAACTTCACCTCATAAGAACCGGAAATACAAGGGATGATACAGGGGAGTCCTGAACCAAACCAGTCATTTTTCTGAAAAATAAAAAAAAAACATTTTTAGAAGGAAGATTATCAATCAAATGCATCAAAATCAAAATTTGCAAAGCACTGAAACTGGTTTGCTAAATTGTTCTGATGCTGTGGCTGAAATTTGCAAAGTTTAAGATTTAGTAATCTGTCCGCCATATCCGCCATTATTGCTCCTGAACAGAGAACCATCCGCCCCTTCCCAACATACTTCATAGTTACCGCCGTCTTGGTTAAGCATTCGTCTGACAGAAACGGCGGATCGGCGAACACTATATCAAAGTTTTCCACAAGCTCTCGAGGTATACTAAGTGGTGCCTTGTAATCGTAGAATATAAAATCCTCGCCGTAACATGAAAATCTTTTATCGTATTCGAAAACTTTGACATTATAATCCTTGTTGATCATCTTGATATGTTTGTACAAGGTCGGAGCAGATATACAAGCAACAGATCCCTTCTCACCAGCTGCAGCCATCACCATTCTGAAATTCGTGATTAAAATGAAAAACAAAACTTAACAATTTCTGTGTACATTTAACAGGGAAATACATCACGACAGTTTTAACTGAAAACCCCTTTTCGTGTTTTTTTTTTCTCTCATGTTTTCGTTAAAACTGTCAATTTTTTGGTTTTCCCAACAAAACATTTTTTTATAATACAATACATTAAAAAACTTCATGCATTGTATATTATGGCTGACTGTTTATAAAAAGATATGGGGGGGGGGGGGCTTTCATTAAATATTACCAGGGCTTGTTCACATGGTTTACATGACGGGGGAGGAAAACACCCTGTAAGTGCCAGGTAGGTGCCAAAATGTTAAATATGTTGGATTCAAGGGAAAATATTTCAAGAAGCTAGGGAGGTACGTCTTGTTGGTATCATTTTCTCCATCTGACCTTGCCAAACTTTCTCCAGTTTCCGAACTATACCAGAACTGACTGAGCTGCCAATCTTCTTTAATCTCTGATCCTGCATTCTCTCCATCCCATTCCTTCTCACGCTCCTCCTTAAATTTGTAGTCATTTTGCAATTTGGACAAAAATGAGATAAAAAGTGTTCAAAAGCTCATTTTTAAAGTTTAAACCCAGCAATAAAAAACTAACACTAAACACAGATATCAAGAATCTCAATTAAATATTAGAAAGAAAACTTGCAGTTGAGAAGAATTGAGACGCGAATTGTCCGGATGGCGTTGATTATGATTTGGTTACAGGTAGAGAGTTACTACTTTTTAACACGGTTGTAGTAGCTATTGTAATTAAATAATTAATTTTAATTTAGAAAATCAACCTGTTAAATCTGCAGCTTTTTTGCTGCTTTACAATAAACTCTTTATTTCTGTTGTTGGTTTAAAATGGCTCTATCAAGATCTACGCAAAACTTATCCTTCTATAGTTTTCCTTGATAATACCTTTATATAAGAGACTGGTTAGATCTTTGTTTTAACCAGGTTGCAAAGATAGTGCGGTGAGATTGTACTGTAGGGGCCCTTTCAGGCCCATATAATGGCTCACACAACTTGTAAGATCTACGGATCTTTTCTTAAATCTTGATGTTCAGGTTGAATCCAGAAATCGTGATCTAAAGAAGCACATGAAGATCTACTCATCTAATTCTATACTTGTTCCTCCTGTATATACATATATAAATATTTAATCGAGCTTTATCTGAGATTTTATCTGAGTTTAATTAAAGTTTTACTTTAAATGTATCATTCTGGCCTAAAAGTTTCATATTCTCAAGCCTAAAAAGCTTTTTTACAACGTCTAGATTTATACTTTAAATAGAGCCTATAACTAAAAAATTATTTTAATGGTCTATATATTTCAGACCACAATGGGCTAGGATAACTGCGTTATCCTGTCTTAGTACTCCAGGTTGTGCAATACTAGGTTTATAAAACCTCTTATTTAAATGTAATCGTAAACACTGCCTAAACCTTTCGAATTTAAGCTCTTTAAAACTAATGGATGTTATATAAAGTGAATCCAGATCATTCTCGTATTTCAACGCCTGACCTGAACTATGAACTAATGAATTAACAGGTGATAATACGTTCTTAAATAACTTAAAACTTTTGAAGCTTATCCGAGACTAATTACTCCCTTATCTCGTAGACCAAGTCCTTCTCTGATCTACCCACGCCGTACTCCTGGACGAGGATGATCTCTTCAATCTAACGAGAGTTTGATAGAGCAGATTCAGCTGGAAGCACGATGAACCTGTCGAGCTGAACCAAACCACCTGCAGAGTATCTCCCTGCTGGGCATCATTGTCTTCACCTCCTACATGGAGAAGTCCCGTCAGAAGCGTCTTGCTTGCTTCTATAAACCGGGACTGCTGCTATTAAGCAGATAAATGTGAAGATTAAATATGAAGCTACTCTTAAGATGAGATCTAATGTCTAACTTAATCTTATTTAGATCTCATCATTGTCCTCGAGATTGAGATCTGATGTTTAACTCAACCTTATTCGGATCCAATCATCATCTTCACTACCTCCCTATTGGAGAAGTCCCGTCGGAAGCAACTCCTATGCTTCTCTAAACCGGGACTGCTGCTATTAAGCAGATAAAGGTATATAATCAAGTTTCGTGTGATCTTTGTGAACAATTAAAGACGAAAATGTGACTATCTCCTCTAACACATGATAAGCCTTCATATAAACTCATCTTATTATTTCTAGTTACGTATAATAGACAGCTGGTAACGATCATCCAACCCTAGAGCTATTAAATTCTCCGGCCTAATCAACTTTGTAAGTGTTACCTTAATTTACATATATTTGTCGCAATTTATTCACATTTAGCACATTGTAAGTGTTATCTCAATACCTAATTGTTGTTACAACTTATTCGCACTTAGCACACCTGGAGCAAATTTTAATGTAAACTTGGCTAATTTTATTCATTTAAATCATTCTAATACTAATTTAATATTTATGCAACCCGTGACTGATGTATTGTTTTTCAGTTCACGGGTCCTAGCTCTGTATCGCTGTACCAGAAATAAAGAATATAAGAGACTCATGTGTATTAAAGAGGTGCGCATTGGAGAAGTGATGTTGCCCCATCGTCATGTTAATAGCTAAACAATACCTGTGGATCTAGGTATCGAATCTAGGGAAAATGCTAAAATTCCCAAAACGGGCACACAACTTACTTACTAATCTTACTAATGTAATAACAATATGATTATTTATTAAAATAACATGATAACATATGATGCAAATTATAAAATCAACCCGTTAAAATTAGAAAATCAACCTGTTCAAAATGAAAAAATAAACCTATTAAAAATGAATGATAAGTTATGAAAAAGGCCTGTTCAATAAAAAATATTTTGATTGAGATTGTACCTGTTCAGCGTAGAACTGAGCTAGAGCAGTGAATGTATCTGCTGAGAGCTGAGGAACATCTTCATCAACATCAACCATATTTAACAAATATCATTTAACTGAAAACAAACTGTCTTTTCAAAATGAAAATAGTGAATGAATTTAGCACGATGAAGGATTCAAAAATGTTAATGAGAAAATGCAACGATATACTTCATGTAAAATTACTTTTGTTTAGTGATTATATGGTGACCGGTGGGCATCTTCTTCCGTTCTGTTCTTAAATTTAAATCACAATTTTCACCAGAAAAGAAAAATGTCTGCGGCCACTGGAAAGTTCCAATGGCTGTGTACAAGTATAATTGCATCTTCTGTAAAACTAAGATCAGTGTGCCCTTTCCAACACATTTCATCCTGGGTCTCCCTCACATCCTCCCTGTATCCATAATGTTTAGGAATTTGAACTGTGGAAACAAGTTCTCCCGTTTTCATTTTAAAAATCAGAATTTTGTGAAGATCTGAGAGAACTATAAAGTTTTTATATTCCTCTATTTGGACAAATCCTTTGGTCGTTGCCAAATCATAAACAGGATCATCAACCTTGATAGTGTACACTAGTGCTCCATCAGGGTTGTATGCATGAATCTGTCTCCCATGCGGAGGTTTAAAGTGCCTGAAGGCCAGGTACAGCTGACATGTACTGTTATAAAGTACTTTTAGGAAGTCGGAATGCAGAGAACTCTTAACCTTTAGGTTAGGAATACTTTTTATCACTAGTTTATCTATGGTCTCAATCTTGTTCTCCTTCAATAACAACTCTTTTAATATTATCCATCCTTCGTAGTTTGAACACAATAAAAGATTTTCCTCCACAAGTTGCATGCTCTCATTGAACCCGCTGGATTTCTCAAACCCATTGCAAATCCTGAACACTGGTTCTCCGGTAGAAGTAAAATTACTGAGATCTATATGCAGTAAACTACCTTGTGTCTGATATTCTCCAAGAAAGCCAGTAACACCTAGGTAGTACTGAACTACACTGTTCTTAATCAGAACCTGAGCTTCCAGAGAATGATCTGTCAGAACAAAATCAAGGTCAGGTAGATAACCCTTATACAATAGAACTAAGTGAGGAAGAGAAAAAATAAAGAGAGTCAACCTACTTTCTTCAGAGGTTTGAATTGAGGTTAGCACTAAAACCTTGTCCTCTACTGTACACAGGGGTATCTCAGAATCCCATCTTAGAACTCCCAGGGGAAGGCTGTACTCGGTGAGCAGGCTGAACCTCTCCTTGATATCATAAACCCGGAGCAATACACCTGGATCATCAACCTGCGCGGGGGGGAGTAAAGTAACAAAAAAATGTTTCCACACTGAGAACTGAGTAAGCCCACCTGGATATATTTTAAACAGATCCACACTAAACATGAATTGTGGATTTCTCCCATTATTCCAACTCCAGACGAATATATCAAAAAATCTTGCAGTTCCAACACCCTGGATAGAAAGAAAATATTCACTCGTCCAGAACCTATCTCCTCTAGTTCTTCTTCTTTGGTCATACTTAGAGCTCTTTCGGTGCTTTAGTCGGAGCTCCCTATCACTTGTATTAGAACTATATTCAATCACAGGAAAGTGTTCTTCATCTGTTGCATACAATCTCCACACCTGGAACTTTCCAGCACAAACATTTCTGCGCATTTCCATTCCGCGCAAATATATTCTTCTCCACAGAGGGGAATCGTTCGTTTCATCATTCGTATGCAGACTTCTGGCGTTGTAGCAAAGACGGCTTTCAAATTCAGCGCTTTCCTCAGTCAGTATTGAAAAGTATTCATCCAACTCTTGAAGTTTACTAAGATGTTTCCAAAATTGTCCACAACAAAGCAACTTACAGCGCAAATTCTTGTTTAGTGTAAGTAGTGCAACAGCAGATTTATAGTCCAATAGACAACATATGATCTCCAAGATGTCTGGGGGTAGATCCTCGAATACAGTTTGTGACATCCTTCAAATACTTTTCTAAAGTAAATTAAGCTTTATATAATTCCTATGATAAACTTGATCGTTATAAACCAAGCATATCGTACCACTATGATCACTGATCAGTCTGTAATCAGGGATGGGCACCAAAATCAGGTCTCAAAAAGCAAAAGAATGATCTAAAAGCACAAACAAATAAGTTTTACATATATCTGTTGAATCTGAAGACTGAAAGAGAAAATAAAAGTAAATGCGTCTGCGCAGTCAGGTGATTTATTTTGTACGGCGTAAAGTTTTAAAGGATGAGTCAGTAATTAGAGATAGTTATATCCTACTTTTTGGTGTGTCAAACAAAACAAAAAATTTTGTTATTTCAAATTTATTTTTATTGATTCAACGAAAATGTTTAATTTCTGAAACAATGACTTTTTTACTAAGTTTCGACGGCTTGGAAATATTTGTTGCTCTAATAAAATAAAGCCACAAAATTTTGTTTAAAAAAACACCGCGGCATCAGTACGTTGTGATTTTTCATCCATTCGACACAACTTTATCTGATTTCAAAAACATCCGAGCTCACCTAGCAGACATGAAAATGTTCTAAGAATGCCCGATGATCCAAAACCACTATGGTTCTCTATTTTGAGATTCCTGTTATCCTATAGGTTTACACCCAAGTTGAAGAAACTGGGACTGGGTTTATTTTTCGGACTCATCTTTGATTATATTACTAACGTTGGACTTACAACAACAATCTGGTAAACATGATGTCAGGGCTGTGTAGATCCAGTTTTAAGCTTGGTTCAAAGTTTTTGATCAACAATTCCTTTTCAACTTCCACTCACAGTTTCATTAAGTACAATATGCAGTATACATTGTTGATACAATAGTACGCATTTAGTGTTATCACGCATAAACAAAGTGATAAATTAGCAACAATCCAGAGGATAAAATGCCATGCGTACGACAGAGATGGTGCTTTGTGCTCATTATCTCAAGACCTCTAAATTTATACCTGTCTGCATATCTATATATATATTATCGTTGTTAAAATTAGATCAATTGAGAAGGTTTTTCTCATGACTGATTTTATCACATTTCTTTGAAACTCTGTATACATGCACCCTCAAATCTGTGAGTGCGTTTCTACTGTTTATACGCTGACAGTTATAGTGTCACTATTCTCACTTATCTATCCCGGATCTAGTAAATTTTAAGTACATTTTATTAAAGCTAGTTTAATATTGGAAAAAAAGGCCAGTTATTGTTTTCATTGGGGTTAGTATGATTTTTGATGATTAGGGGGGGGGGGAAGACAAGTTTTTTTCATCCAAAAAATCAAAAATTCAACGAATTAAACCATAAAAAAATGTTGAATCTCTACACAAACAGGCATGAGCTTTTGGAAAAAAAAATACTCAAAAGTGGGGGGTAATTGATTTTTCAAGGAAATATACACGGCAATGTTAGTCTTATAAAGGTTTAAGGATACCGTTGATATTGAACTCTTAAATCTTGCCAAATACTTTTTACTTTTTAGACCTGCTTTCCCCCCTATTCTTCTGGCCTTATCTAAACCTGTAGCTAAGGTTCTCACAGTTATTCTCGGTAAAGGAGCACGGACTTGGTGGAAAAAACTTCCAGATAACAAGAAATACGTGTTTAAACAGATATATCAGGACAACAGGTTAGATTTTTCATCTGAGATAAGTAGCCCCTCTTCATCAAAAAAAGAGGAAAAAATATGATAAAAATGATCGAATTATTAAAAAAATATTGCTTTAATTTCTTATTTAACTTATCATCAAAGTTTTTAGTTTTATCATTTTTTCTTATTTTAGCAAGTAGAATTTGAGGAATAAATTGAAAAAATTTAAAAAATGTTTGATCTTAAGTATCTAAGTAAAAAATATTGTTTGGCAGAAAGAAAGTGTATACAGCAGTTGCAGTTTCTACTCTTGGTCTAGGTTACGCTTATGAAAGCCATGTTCAGGTACGATTCTCAATTTATGAGTAAAATGTTAGGAAAGCAATTGTCATTTGTCAAGGAGAAATTTATATGTTTTCACTATCCTTATTTGCTATTTTAAAGTTTACTTCTCCCCCTGAATGCTTAAAAATATAAACTAAATTAAAGTCAATTTTGGACTAAATGACTGTAAAAAGAAAATAAAAAATATTGAGATTAAAGACTGAAAGTTATTTAGCCAATTAACCCCAATAGGTTTGGCTCGTGTTTTAATCGATTCGTTTAAAAAAAAACATGTTCCAACACAGGAATGTGCTATAACTGGTCGAAGAAGATTTGTTGCACTTACTCCGGATCAAGCAAAGAGGATTGGAGAAAAGGAATTCAGGTTCAACATAAAAAACAAATGAAAAGTTCTAAGGCGAAAGTGTAAAATACCACACTCAAACAAAATTAAAGTACCTTCTAAAACATTTCTTTATTCCATCTCTGTCTAAAATATTAAATTTCGAATATTAATTGACATTTTAGAAGACTAGAAAAATAATTACAAAAACATAATATTTTTTTTATTGGTAAAATTTCGAAAACAAAGTCAAAAAATACTATTTAGACTATAAATAAAAAATATTTAAGAAAGCAATTTATTCAAGGAAATGTTTTTTTTAAATCACATTTTACAGTGTCGTTTTTTTAAATAAACAAATATACTTAGAAGTTTGCTGGTGATTAATGAGGGTAATATAGTTCCTGAATCTAACCCTGTTTATGGAAAGGTAGGTTGGAATATAGCCCCTGAATCTAACCCTGTTTATGGAAAGGTAGGTTAGAATATAGCCCCTGAATCTAACCCTGTTTATGGAAAGGTAGGTTGGAATATACCCCCTGAATCTAACCCTGTTTATGGAAAGGTAGGTTGGAATATAGCCCCTGAATCTAACCCTGTTTATGGAAAGGTAGGTTGGAATATAGCCCCTGAATCTAACCCTGTTTATGGAAAGGTAGGTTGGAATATAGCCCCTGAATCTAACCCTGTTTATGGAAAGGTAGGTTGGAATATAGCCCCTGAATCTAACCCTGTTTATGGAAANAATTCGGCGCGCTTCGCGCGCCAAATTAAAAATATTTACCCCCCCCTACAGATTCCTTATGTCCGCCCCTGGTTGGAATATAGCCCAAGAATCTAACACTGTTTATGGAAAGGTAGGTTGGAATATAGCCCCTGAATCTAACACAGTTTATGGAAAGGTAGGTTAGAGTATAGCCCCTGAATCTAACCCTGTTTATGGAAAGGTATGTTAGAATATAGCCCCTGAATCTAACCCAGTTTATGGAAAGGTAGGTTAGAGTATAGCCCCTGAATCTAACCCTGTTTATGAAAAGGTAGGTTAGAATATAGCCCCTGAATCTAACCCTGTTTATGGAAAGGTAGGTTGGAATATAGCCCCTTAATCTAACCCTATTTAGTGTTTATGGAAAGGTAGGTTAGAATAAAGCCCTTGAATCTAACCCGGTGTATGGAAAGGTAGGTTGGAATATAGCCCCTGAATCTAACCCGGTTTATGGAAAGGTAGGTTGGAATATAGCCCCTGAATCTAAAACTGTTTATGGAAAGGTAGGTTGGAATATAGCCCCTGAATCTAATACTGTTTATGGAAAGGTAGGTTAGAATATAGCCCCTGAATCTAACACTGTTTATGGAAAGGTATGTTAGAATATAGCCCCTGAATCTAACACTGTTTATGGAAAGGTAGGTTAGAATATAGCCCCTGAATCTAACCCGGTTTATGGAAAGGTAGGTTAGAATATAGCCCCTGAATCTAACACTGTTTATGGAAAGGTATGTTAGAATGAACATTTTTGGAAAACTCCTAGATTTTTAATTGAATTGTTATATTAGATCAAATGAATTTGAAGTTCCCGGTTTTGTAATGGATGAACTGTCCTAAATAATTAATCACTTGCGGTGCTTTGACTAGTTTTTATTTTGTTTGACATATATATAAATGTTTTGTCTTCTTAAATTTCATATATGCTCATATTTAATCTATTTTACCGTTATGTGTACAAAATAAATATATAATAATGATAAAAATATAGCCCCTAAATCTAACCCTGTTTATAGAAAGGTAGGTTAGATTAGAGCCTCTGAATTTAACCCTGTTTATGAAAAGCCTGGCAGCAGCTTGAAAAACATATTATACGGGCACCCGTAAAAATCAACAGCATCTTATTTATCAAATGTAATATTCATAAACGTATAAAAAAATTGCAGCTTGATGTCAATTACAGCATTTTTTTAAAAATATTTTTTCAAGTTGTGAACTTTTTTACAAGTTTGATTTTCAATGTTTTTAATGAATGTTTCTGGCTTACTTGTAAGGATTCTCTTTTTTTCCAGAAAAGTTGCAAATCAACTTTCCTCTTCTAATTAACTGTGTTTTGCAATAAATTCATTAAACTAAACCTAGCTTGGGGCGCAATGAAACCTGTGAATATAATTTAGTATATTTTTGTAATTCTCAGGTTGCTGGTGTAGCAAACCAAATACTTCAAGCAAACAAGGATCTTCGGCAAATATATGATAAAGTAAGTTCGGTAATTTCTTATTAAATGTGCCCCCCCCCCCCACCTCTACCGCTCCCCTCCTTCTGAAAAAGAGTAACCTCCCGCTTAACCTAAACTAACCTGGAATCGTTTTAAAAACACACTCTTTAACTCTACCCAAACATGGACCCTAACTAATGCTAAACCTGAATGGAGTTTTCTTTATATTTCTTATTTTAGAAGTGAGCTCGAACTGTTGAAATTTATTAGATTCTGGACCTGGACCCTAACTGTAGTTAAACTTTATATTCCAGACCTGGACCCTAACTGTAGTTAATCTTCATATTCTAGACTTGGACCCTAACTGTAGTTACACTTTATATTCCAGACCTGGACCCTAACTTTAGTTAAACTTCATATCCCAGACCTGTACCCTAACTGTAGTTAAACTTTATATTCTAGATATGAACCCTACCTGTAGTTAAACTTTATATTCTAGACATGAACCCTACCTGTAGTTAAACTTTATATTCTAGACCTGGACCCTAACTGTAGTTTTACTTTATATTCTAGACATGAACCCTAACTGTAATTAAAGTTTATATTCCAGACCTGAACCCTAACTGTAGTTAAACTTTATATTCTAGACCTGGACCCTAACTCTAGTTAAACTTTATATTCTAGACCTGGACCCTAACTGTAGTTAAACTTTATATTCCAGACCTGGACCCTAACTTTAGTTAAAGTTTATATTCCAGACCCGGACCCTAACTGTGTTAAACTTTATATTCCAGACCTGGACCCTAACTGTTGTTGATGATACTTCAGAAAATGCTTTCGTTCTTCCTTCTGGTAATATATTTGTCCTCACTGGTATGCTCAAGGTAAATTTATTTTAAGCTGTATTTTAAGTTTGCTTAAAGGAATAATTTACGTCTGTTCATTTGACATTCCATTTAAAGAGGAGTATGTCTGTTCACAACGGTACCATTTGTCTGTACAAAAAGTATGAAAATATATTCGTTTTGTTATTTTTAAATTGATCATTTCTAATCGCGGTTTTCTCATGCAAGTTACTGGCGGACTCTATGTAGTAGAGATAAAGAACTTATCTTAGCGAAATCAACAATTTTTAAGATGAAAAGCAACGATATCTTACCCATTGATATGAAAAAGATTTAAAGCAAGGCCCTCAACTTATAATGAGTTGGTTGAGCTCTCTGGTCCCTATTTCATTACCATATCATCAGGATTTGATGGAGCAGTGGTTCATAATCTAAGGATTCATGGTTCAAGCCCCGTCAACTGCAAAATCAAATCTGATGAATAGAGCCATACTGATGAGTCCTAATAGGACGAAACATGGATATATCTATAATCTATATATTACTCGTGCACCCCCCTCTTTAAATGGAGTGTCAATTGAAATTACGTCTACAGTCCCTTTAAGTTAAGTCTAATTTGGATCTAAGATTTATTATTTGTCATTATTCATCATCCTTGTTGTTCCATCTTTCGATATTTTTATAACGAAATGATTTTGTAAATAGTACATGCTCAAAATTCTGCATTTTAGAAACTGATGTTTACTAGGTCTTGGATTGAAAACTTTATAGTTAGTGAGGACATGTTTTATTTATTTTATCTCAAGGCATGCGAGACTCTTGATGAGCTTGGGATAGTACTCTCTCATGAGATTGCCCATGTAGTTCTGGGACACGTTGAAGAGAAACTTACTCTTACATCCTTCGTCCAGGTTTAATGTTTTTCTTCAAAATAACTTTTAAAGGGAGTGACCGGCTATGTAAGGTAGTTGAACTGATTATGCAGTGTAGTGGAAATCTTCTTTCGGATTCATTTGAGACATATTAAACTTTTTAAAGATCTGTAAATCCTGAGTTTGAGCGCAAATCGACGTTCAAAACTCCTACTTTGTGGGTGGATACGTTTTCAGAATTAGTTTTTTTTTAATTATTAAATAACGACAATGAAAAATAAAATAAAAATTATACAGTAATCGAATTAGATGATTAGGAACATATTTCTCAAAAGAAATTTGTCAATAAATCAATGCTAATTATTTCGTTTTCATTATTAGATTGAATTACTTATTTTCTTTGAATTTATTCGCAGATTTCTTAAAATTCTTCAAATGTCGTCTTTTCAATAATAATTATAGAAAATCTGCAGAAAATCTTTGTGAATAATGAGAAGCCAGAATAATGAGAAAATAGAAACTAATAATTGAACAAGATTACTTATTTTCGATGATAAGACTAATTTTAATTTTTTCAACATGTTCCTATGCATAACGTCTGTAGTTTATTGTAGAACTTTTTTACATTTTATGTCGTCGTTATTTAACAATTTCAAAAAACTAATTCTGAGGATTTACAGATCTTCAAAAAGTTTAATAGGTCTCAAATGAATTCGAAAGAAGTTTTCCACAACACTGCATACTCAGTTCAACTACCTTACATAGCCGGTCACTCCCTTTAAAAGTTTCGATTAAACGTTTCTGTACAATTTTTTTTATAGTTTATTTGTTCAGCTCGTCCTTCTGATTCCAATGGCGGTACTGTGGGCTTTCCTTCCCAACGACGGTATTGCCTTGGTGTTTAATTGGTTTATGGATACAGTGGTCGACATAATGATCGAGCTCCCCTTCAGCCGAGACATGGAAACAGAGGCGGACAGGGTCGGCCTTATCTTAGCTGCCAAGGTCAACAATTTTAAACAATTCAGTTAATGACATGTTTTGTTTTATTTCCTGAATACTAATTCAAGTCCTGTTTAGGCTTGTATTGATGTGCGCGAAGCGCCAGTTTTCTGGGGTCGGTTGAAACTACTCAGCGAGGATCCTTCCTTAGATAAGGTAAACTGGGGGGGTCATGGGTTTCCTGGTGATTTATAAAGCATGGGTTTAAAGAGAAAAATACAATCGGTTTTAAAGTCGTTTCTATTTTAACTTTTTAAAGTCTTATTCTGAAATCAAAACATTATGTTAAAATTTATGCAAAGATGGCTAAAACTAAAAACCCGGGTCTTTGGTCTGAAGCTAACTTGGCCATTTGATTTTAAGGGTAAATTCACTTCTCTTAAACTACTTTAAATTTGTTTGTTCTTCAGGAAATGGAGTTTTCATCCACGCACCCTTGTCATGAAACAAGACAGGAAACTTTAACTAATCTTCTGAAGGATGCTCTGCATATCAGGTTTAAATTTTAAAATAAGTTATTATTTTTATAATTTTTATAGTTTTTAGTTTCTTTATGACTGATCTCATTTAGGCATAGCTGTGGCTGTACTGTTCTGGATTATAACCGTGACCCCATGAAGAAACTTGCTGCGCTTGCCGCGTTTATGAACAGTAGAAGAAATACCTCGTCAAATTCCCGCAGTTTAACAGATGTTTTAGTAAATCAAGATGGCCGAATTGTCCAAAAATAAGAAAGTGTAGGAAAAGTCTATTTCTCTATTAATAAATATACAATATTTATTTAGAATACACATATTTTGTATTGTTAACCATATTTTTTGTATGTTGGAATATTTTTTGAATTCAAGTCTGATCCAGTTCAATTGTCGAAACTTCTTGTTATCTGATTTTCAGAGTGAATAATTAAATTAAAATGAGGTCCAGGTCTAATTCAGTGATTAGACTGGACCACTACTATAACATGGTTTATGAAACAATTCTGCATTATCAGGTTGGTAAACTAAAATTACATAATAATACTATTTTATTATCATCATTATTCTTAATTATTATTTTCATTAATACTGTTGTTCTTGCTGTTGTTGTGATGGTTTTTGCTGTTGTTTTTGCTGTTGCTATTGTTGTTGCTGTTGTTGTTTCTGATGCTGTTGCTGCCGTTTCTGTTGTTGTTACTGTTTTTGTTGCTGTTCTGTTACTGTTTTTGCTGCTGTTTTTGTGGCTGTTGCTGCTGCTGTTGTTGTTGCTGCTGCTGTTGTTGTTGCTGCTGCTGTTTTTGATGCTGCTGTTGTTGCTGTTTCTGTTGTTGCTGTTGTTGTCGTTGCTGTTGCTGTTGTTGTCGTTTCTGTTGTTGTTACTGTTTTTGTTGCTGTTCTGTTACTGTTTTTGCTGCTGCTGTTGTAGTTGTTGCTGTTGCTGCTGTTTTTGATGCTGTTGTTGCTGCTGTTTTTGATGCTGTTGTTGCTGTTTTTGATGCTGTTGTTGTCGTTGCTGTTGCTGTTGTTGTCGTTGTCGTTGCTGTTTTTTTCTGTTGTTGCTGTTATTGTTGCTGTTGTTGCTGTTGCTGCTGTTACTGCTGTTGCTGCTGCTGTTGTTGTTGTTGTTGTTGGTGTTGTTGTCGGTGCTGTTGTTGGTGCTTTTGTTGTTGGTGTTGTTGTTGCTGTTTTTGTTTCTGTTGTTGCTGATGTTGTTGTTGCTGATTTTGCTGATGTTGCTGTTGTTGCTGTTGTTGTTGCTGTTATTTCTGCTGTTGCTGTTGCTGTGATGGTTTTTGCTGTTGAAGTGATGGTTTTTGTTGTTGTTGTTGTTGTTGTAGGTGTTGTTGTTTTTGTTGCTGTTGTTGTTGCGGTTGTTGTTGCTGTTGCTACTGTTGCTGATGTTGCTGTTGTTTTTGCTGTTGTTGTTTCTGTTGCTGTTGTTGCTTTGTTGCTGTTGTTGTTGCTTTTTTGTTGCTGTTGTTGCATTTGTTGCTGCTGTTGTTGTTGCTGTTGTTTTTGATGTTGTTGTTGACGTTGTTGTTACTGAGCTGTTGCTGTTGCTGTCGTTGCTGTTGTTTCTGTTGTTTCTGTTGGGATGGTTGTTGCTGCTGTGATGGTTTTTGCTTTGGTTGTGATGGTTGTGATGGTAGTAGTAATTTATTGGTGATGGTTGTGATGGTAGTAGTAGTAGTAGGAGTAGTCTGGAATGAATGGGTGTGTGACGGTGCTTCCCACACCTGGCGACGGTCTGGGGGGTCCACATTGGGATCTCTTACAGATTCCATTTCCTTTTGTTTTTTAAGTAGTAGTAGTATTAGTAGTCGTGGTATTTGTAGTCGTTTCTTTTTAACAGTTATTTTTGATAAACTACTTGAATTGTATCAGGACCCTGTGACCGGCCTACTACCTGCCTACCAGGTCACTGGATCAGAACATCATGCCTGGGTCAGAGATAATGTTTACAGTGTATCTGCAGTTTGGGCGTTAGCGCTAGCTTACAGGTAATTCCATCCTAAGCGATCTTACATGCTGCATTTTTTTAGGTTACCAGTGTATTTTCAACCTGTAAAATATATTTTCACGTGAAAAAATAAATTTATTAAAAATTGAAAATGGCCTTTCTGTTTTTTTCGTAGTCTTTTGTGATAGTTCTAGATGTAAATTTAAATATTATTTTTATAAGAAATGGATTCTATGTTATTTGTTATGTTTTACTTTTAAAGATTTATTTCTTGTTGAATGAATGATATTTGCAAAAGAAAACATTTGCAAAGAGAAAACAACCCCACTATTACAAGTAGTTTCTGTTTAGTGTGTAAATATTTAGTTCATTATAAACCTGATATAAATAGATATCTTTAATATTAATATGAATAAGTAAAAGTTTGAATTTCTATTTTGTAGGCGTGTTCATGACAAGGAGGATGAGAAGAATAAACTGTTCCAGCTTGAGCAAGCAGCAGTCAAGTGTATGCGGGGAATACTCATGGCAATGATGGGACAGAGAGATAAGGAAAATAATATCTTAGTTTTTAATTTTGAATTGGATTGGATTGGATTGGATTGGATTGGATTGGATTGGATTGGATTGGATTGGATTGGATTGGATTGGATTGGATTGGATTGGATTGGATTGGATGGATTGGATGGATTGGATTGGATGTATTCGTTTGAAGAAAAAAGCTGGTTGTTTTCAAGTGAGCCTCTAATCTCCATTTATAGAATGGTATTCCCGATTTACAACGATACCTTTTAAATATTTGTGTGATCAAAAATTAATGAGCTGTCCAGGTTTCTCTTTTTAAAATTTGATTATCCATGAGTCAATTGTCAGAATTAAAGACCTTTTAAGCTACAAAAACGACGGTATGTTCTACTTTTATCGGATAAAGGAAACCTTTTTGAATCGGGCTCGCCCCTCTTTTTTTTTAAATGAAAGGTCACTTGAAATTACAGCGAGACTCGACATTTAGTAACAGTTTTGTTATTTTCAAGTCTTTTCAAACTAAACAGATGATTTTCAATTTTAAATCTTAGAAAAATTGTTTGAACACCGATATGTTGCTCATATTATTAGCTTTTTTCACAAGACAGTTTATTGTATAGGTAGAGAAATTTAAACGCAGTTTCTCCTCCTTTGATTCTCTGCACGCGAAGTACAGCAGTAGGAACGGTCAGACTGTTGTGGGGGACAAGGAGTGGGGCCATCTCCAGATAGATGCAGTCTCCCTTTATCTTCTTTTTATTGCCCAGATGACCGCTAGCGGGCTCCAGATCGTCTTCACTCTAGGCAACACCAACAACACTAGTCCGATCAATCTTGATTTAAATATGTAATAATATTATTAATAAAAGTAATAAATAAGTTTTATAAAATAAAATTGGTATCCCCCACCCACACACACCTTTTAAACTAAAAGATGCTTAAATTCTACCCTCTCTTTTAATATGATTTTAATGCATTATATTGAAAGGTATCCAATCCGTGGGAATCACTCCTTGGTACATATTGCCTGAGAAAGATTTTGATACCTCTTTCTTTACAACTTCTCTGGACTGCATTCTGTTGGAAAAAATTAATTTAGTCTTTGCCACAACCTGTGAATTTCCATTCCTCATATCTTTTCAACTTGATGTCGGAGAACTTGGATATTTAAAAAATGTAAATTATTTAGATCAAATAATCAAAGTTTGACATATCAAAGGTTAACGACGATTAAGTTGAAAAGACATAGGGATTTAAGTTTGCGACAAAGACTAAATTCCTTTACCTGTCTAATCATATAACAGTTTGCTGTGCGTAGATGAGGTTGCGTTTGTGCAAAACCTTGTGTTCTATATCGAGTGCGCGTATGTGACTCCTGACTACGGGATCTGGGAGCGCGGAGATAAATCTAATCAAAGTATTGTAGAGCTCAATGCCAGCAGTATTGGGATGGCCAAAGCTGCACTAGAAGCAATGAACAAGGTCAGAAAATAGAGAAGAAGCCAAAACTTTTGAATTTTAATTCAGTTCATAATGAGCTAAGTTGGTTTACTTCCTCGGCCTCCAGTGAGAGGTGTTTTAGTTTAAGTTCTTTGACAAAGCCAGTCTTAGCTTTTTTGAACCTTATTCATTATCTTTTGGATATTCCGCAAATATTCGGAGTTGAACTTAATTCTTTAATTTAAAAGTTTACGGTGCTAGATTTCGATTTGTTTAAGCGCAATTCCAATCAAAAGTTCTAATCTTAGAATAGAATTGACAATCTCAGAAACTTTGTAAAAATATGATAATTCCATCTTAATGTTTTATCTAGTTGGACCTGTTTGGAGGACGTGGAGGACCCCCCTCCGAAATCCATGTTCTACCTGACGAGGCTGTCAAGTGTGCAGCTGTCCTTGAATCTATGCTCCCAAGAGAATCCAATTCTAAGGAGACGGACGCGGCAATCCTGAGCATTATTGGATTTCCGGCCTTTGCTGTACCACAGGCAGATCTAGTAGCTAAAACACTTTCAACCATACAGGTATACAATGAGACGCATAAAATTATGAAATACGGAATAGGAAGACGACTTTTAGCTATTTTAAGTGTAGTTGATGTTGTTTAGAATGCAAAATGTTTTACCAATAGCTTTAAAATCAACTTTTTAAGTGATTGGATTTGTGTACATTGTACAATGTACACTGTACAGTTGCATGTTAATGGACTACTTAAAATAATAATTTGAGTCTACAAAATTCTCCTATTTCATAGTTTTGTGGGTCTTACCTTTCCTTGCATTGCCTGGTTTTATTTGATTTGTTATTGATTACTTTTGATTTCGTTCGATTTCGCTTGATTTTGTTTGGTTTAATTTGATCTGATCTTGATTTGGGATTATTTCAAGATAATTTCCCAAGTACCTTTTCAGGTTCTAAAAATCTTCTCTGATATATATATATAATACTAGGAGAAGCTGGGAGGAAGGTTTGGGATGAAAAGATTTCTCCGTGACGGTTATAAAACTGCTATTGAAGATCCTACAAGGTTGCACTATGAACCGTGGGAGCTCCGACTGTTTGAGAATATAGAATGTGAATGGCCCCTTTTCTTCTGCTATCTAGTCATCAACTACTGTTTTCAGGTGATTTGTTGCGGAAAAAAAAAACAATTTTAAAAATTGTCATTTAGTTTATTTGCCGGTTTTGCCGCCAACTAAAATTTGTTAATCCCTATATCTATAAAACATGATGATGCAAATATTTGATTTTTGAAGCTTAGGCTATTGGATGCAACAGAATACAAAGTTTAAAATATCAAAGGTCTACAACATTAGGTTGCAATGAAAGAAGAATAATAAAATCAGAGTTTGATGAAAAAAAATCAGTTCCTTTGTGTAAGAAAAGGTTTTAACGTCATCGCCTCATAGTCTTGATTAGTGTATTCATCAATTATGTTTTAATTGTTTTTTGTGGGTCAGCTCAGAGTAATCAATTATGATTTGATTTTAGTAATCATTGATTTGATCAGACTGATTAATTATAATTTGATAAATCTGATTGTGAAGGGTGAAGAGGATCTAGCAAAGGATGTGATGGTTATGCTGGATACTCTTACAGTTGAGATGGAAGGGTTCTGGATGGTTCCAGAACTGTACAAGGTTCCAGAGGATAAGGTAAACCATGTACAAATATTTTCATGATGAAGGGGGTTACAGCCAATGGAGTATTAATAACTATAAAATAGATGTAGATGATAAATTGATGTCGAAATATTTTAAGACAACAAAAGTCAGTTTGCTTGAAAAATTAAGCAGGAGTTAGGTTTGGCAGATATTTTAGGAATTAAAGTTAAAAATGTAATTGATTAACTTTTAACCACGATATTTTAAGGTTGGAGTTGAGTACGCTAACCCCGGTAAAGCAGACCGTGAGGTGGGAGGACGGTGTCCTTTCATGTGGGCGCAGAGCTTATATATCATTGCTAAACTACTTCATGAGGAGTTCATTGCTCCAGGAGAACTAGATCCTATGAACAGGTAACTTATTGCTGCAGGAGAACTAGATCCTAAGAATAGGTAACTTATTGATCCGGGAGAACTACATCCTATTAATAGGCAAGTTATTACTCCGATCGAGAGAACTAGATCCAGGAATAGGTACCTTATTGCTCATGGGAGAATTAGATCCTATGAATAGGTAACTTATTGCTCCTGGAGAACTAGATCCTATGAAATGGTAATTTATTGTTCCAGGAGAACTAGATCCTATGAAAAGGTAACTTATTGCTCCAGGAGAACTAGATCCTATGAGTAGGTGACTTATTGCTCTTGGAGAGCTAGATCCTATGAAAAGGTAACTTATTGCTCCTGGAGTAATGGATCCTATGAATAGTATCTTATTGCTCCAGGAAAACTAGATCCTATGAATAGATAACTTATTGATCCTGGAGAACTAGATCCTACGGATTGAATAGGTAACTTATTGCTCCTGGAGAACTAAATCATTTAGTCTAAAGAAACTTAGTCATCTAGGTTGTAGTTCTATATTGTTTAGGAGATTATCTAGTCTTAAGAAATCTAGTTGTCTAGGTTGTAGTTTTATATTGTTTAGGAGATTGTCTAGTCTGAAGAAATCTAGCTGTCTAGGTTTTAGTTCTATATTGTTTAGGAGATTATCTAGTCTTAAGAAATCTAGTTGTCCAGGTTGTAGTTCTATATTGTTTAGGAGATTGTCTAGTCTGAAGAAACCTGCTGTAGTTGTCTAGGTTGTAGTTCTATATTGTTTAGGAGATTGTCTAGTCTTAAGAAACCTGATGTAGTTGTCTAGGTTGTAATTCTATATTGTTTAGGAGATTGTCTAGTCTGAAGAAACCTGATGTAGTTGTCCAGGTTGTAGTTCTAGCTGAGGATAGCAGAATACAAAACCTTCTGAAGGAGCAAGATCTAATTATCCCAACCTGTGCAGAGATAGCTCCAATACAGGTATAGAGTATAGAAATTATTGAACACAGAGATCGGAACTTTTACATCTGCATTGACTAAACTAATTAAACATTAAACGGAAACATTAAAATTTAAAGCGATTAAATGTAAAGGATGAGAATTTAGTGACGACCTAAAACTCTAAAAAAAAACTTTCTGAATTTTGTTTTTTGCCTTGCACATAGTTCTAAATGATTTGGAAAAGAAAGAAACAAGTATTAAGTTGTGCAATGAATCAAATTTGTAGGAAAAAGGCTGAATAAATTCCGTACAGTCGTCTCTGAAGCCTGATTCTAACTTAATCCGTCTGACTACACAATTAACGGATTAGTTGTTTCTGAATACATTAGTTCTGACATAAGAAATTTAATTTTGTTTCCCCAAGGTTCAACCCTCACGTATGCTCTCCCATCTGTACACCTTCCTGGGCCGGTCATCTAAGCTGGGTCTCTCAGGTCGACGCAGTCTTGACGTTGGTATCCTAGCAACCAGTAAAATTTATAGAATTCAGGCAGGCGATCATATCATTTCTTAGTAGTAAGATTTGCAAGATAAATATTTTCAAAAAGAGAGATTTGCATTTTAGGCATGATTTTACCAGTACGACTTTTTCAACACAAACTTGTAGACGATTTTTTTCCATCTAACATTTTTGGTCCAAAACTAAATTTCCCGCTTGAATATAATCGCGTGTTTGTAGGATAAATCCTTTGTGTTCACACCCCAGAGCTTTGACAGGTCAATGAACTATACAGATACAGATCCTAGCCTAGCGATGTCAACGCTAGCCTACGGGTTGAACTACCTGGCGACCAGCTGGACAGATCTTGGTAGACCTACCATGACTCTAATACTGTCATGTTCAATGCTAGGTAAATAAACAGAAGAAAATCTTTCAAGAGTGACTCAACCTTTTTTATCCTCCAGGGGGGGGGGG